TAGTAAATAAATAATAAAGTTGCTGATAGGTGAGGTATTTTCATGAGAGACAGATAAGAGGAAGATCTGTGTCGCTAAGTCTTTTTCATCACCTGATAATTTACAAATACATCAGAAAAGGAAACTCACTTCTTGCTGTTGGCTAGTTTGCGATATTCGCCAACGGTCATAGATTTCTTCTGAATGTTGTACTGGGTAAACAGTCCAGACTGGCCAGTTACCACCTGCATTATAGGTGCTGGAATCACCATGTCTTCAATGGCATCATAGGACTTTCGAGGTTTCCAGCCCTCTGGAGGAATCACCTAAACATTGAAAAAGAGATTTAGCACTTACATGTAGATAATGGATACCGAGGTAACCTACATTATCCTTTGGGATCGAAATGTTTTACTAAAAAAATCTTACCCTAAGCTTTAATTAAGGGCAGAAAATTAAAAGAGTGATTGTGTGGAAAAGCATAACTTGGTGAGTGCATATTTTATGGATCCATTACCTTTGCCAGGCCTGCACGATGAGCCCCTTGACTCTCCATGTAGACAATGTATTGGGCAAAGTCTTTAAACTCCTCCATAGTAGGCCTGAAAGTCATGATCTTGCAGCTGGGGTTCTTGGCAGCAGCTGGTGGCAACGGTGGTGGAACTGGTCCTACTTGTGGATTTATAGGTGGCTCAAAACCTGGAACAGGTTTTAAAGCCCCATCCTGGTCTACAGGCAGAACTGGAGCAGTATCTTGATCTGAGGTCACTGGGTCACTGGTTGTTTGAGGTACTGGCTCTCGCATGGGAACCTGATCTTGGGCTGGGCTGGAGCCGAGAGCAGGAAAGGCGACTGGGCCAGGATCAGGGGGTGCAGTAGGGGGTGCAGCAGGTGCTGGGTTAGGAGCCGACATGCTGTCGGTGGACTTGTCGGGATCAATCAGATTCATGAAGGATTGCAGGAAAATCTGTTGGCTGCAGAAAAACAAAAACAAACAACATTTAAGTAAACTTCACAGTTAGGTGTGGTCACAATCAATCAGTATATTAAATATCAAATTCCACCTTCCAAAACAAACAGAGTAATTATTTTCTGTGTAGGACCAAGTGACATTCAAGAAAAAAACAGTTTTGCATTCTTAATAGCATATGAGATACATTTGGTCTGCAATGAGTTTGCAACGCCTATCAGGCATAAAAACAATATACAATTAAAGAGTCTTAGCGTAAAATGCCATTTTAAGGAAGTAAATGTGCAATATGGAAGTATCAGGCCTAGATGGAGTTAATGCTGTTGATTAGCCAATCAACCACATCTTCAATAACCAGCTATAAAGTACTTGACTATCAACTATTGTTAGCTGAAATGACCTACTTTAACTCAAAGGTGATACGAAATAAATGTAAAGCTCAGCTGTTAACCTAAGGCAGAAATAACTTTACACTTGTGTCACAGTTGGTGCTTTTGTTCAGTTTTTTTTTTTTGTTACCCTTAAAAAAGACTTTTTCACACTCTTCAGTGGTGTACCCATTAAGTTAATCAGTCAAAGGACTACTGCATATATGTTTGTGATTTTTTCAGCATCTTAGAAAAAAATTTATTAAATGCATTTTAATTCTATGAGGTTTGTTTCCATAAAAATATTACAGATCCTCAGAGCCATATGAGCAAATATTTCATGTAATTCAGAATCATTTTTTAACAAGAAACCTTAAAAAAACAAACTGAAGAGGATGGTGCCCATCAAATTAAGGGATGCACAGATCCAAATTTTCAATTTTCAGTCTAACATCTATGCTTGGATATCTATAGATCTGAGATGTTTCCGAAACCAGAGCTCTGTTTCCTCATCATTACTGTTGATTATCTTAGCAAGTTGTATATGTAGGGAAATACACATGTATATCAAAAAAAGCCACTTGAGATTAGCATAAGGTCAGAAAAAGGAACTTATAAAAACAATAAATCGTTTTAATAGGACAAATTCCATAATGGCAACAAACGTGCAACTGTAAAGGTTTAAACCTGGAGTATTTATTAAGTCCAACGCAAATGACCATAAAGTGGTAAACCTTCCTGCTGTTCTAAAAGATCTTTAACCCAACTTTAAATTATTAGACTGAACAGATCTGCCACTAGTGATCAGGATCACTACATATATCAGATCTCTACATTTTTGACTTGGATTAGCTAATTTCTTGCAAGATTAAGAGCAATTACACAAACTGTTCTAAAATGTGAAAATCTAAGACTAAATTACAACAACCCATCATCAGAAAACAACTTTATAAGCATTTTGAATGTTTTTCTCGATTAAATTGCCATTGTATGTATTCCAAAACTGCATCTTTCCCAATGTAACACCTTGTAGCTCAAGTATTAGTCAGTGAAAGCCAGAACGAGGGAAGCACTTGTTGAAGTGGTGAACATGCGCCACAAACAGGTTAATGGAAGAATAAAGAACCTGTGGAAATCTTGGATTTGTATATTGCTATTTAACTAGATGAAAACACCTCAGGATCTATCATGGGTTTATTTATAGTTGGCAAAGTTTGCAGTGTAAATACATCTTTCATGGCTCAACAAATGTTACTTAAGGACATAAAAGTTCTGGTTGGTCCTAAAGTCCCAGAGCAGTTCAACAAATATTGGTATAGAACAAAGTCTCGTTTAGCTTCTATTATGTGGTGCACAAATTAAGATGTCACACTTGTAAAGAAAAAAAAATATTGAACACAGCTTTTCAGTTATTTTTACACAAAATACCACAAAGCGTCACATTGAAACATGAGAAAAGAGACTTCCTGCTTAAAGTTCAAGCAAAAGGTGTTACGACTTGGGATTTATATAAAAATAAATAAATATCTAATGAGGTTTCGAGCAGCTGAACTGATATTAAAATGTAGATAAAAATTATACTATACTTAACAGTGAACAAACGCACTGAACAAATGGCAACTTTCTAACATTACCTTTCACAAATAAAACCATCGTTTTATAACAATGTTTTTTGTTTTTCCATAAATAGGTCAGCTCCTTTTCCCTAACTGACAGCGATTCAAATGTTGAAAGAATCGCTGCTTTCCAAAAAAACAACAACATAAAGAGGCCTTATGGTCCCTTTAACTCCATCTAGGCCCGATACTTCCATATTGCACCTTTACTTCCTTAAACGGCATTTTACGCAAATACTCTTTAAAGGTATGTTTTTATGCTTTATAGACGTTGCAAGCTCGATGCAAACCAAAAATAACACGGGCTTGGTGCAGAAAGAATTCATTACACTACTGTTGCTGCTAGCGGCAGAGGTTGCTGTGTTCAGTTGACATTACTAGCATTTTATACAATATAACGGCAGATAAAATCCCGCCGCACTTAGCGATTGCGATTACCAAAAATGAATATCTGATCAAATAAATACAATGTTTAGTCTGTTTAGGTGTGTGATTGCTTCGAGACCAACCCTGGTTGGATTATTTACAGCTGTAATGAAAGTAGCTAGCTTCTGGCTAACCATATCTGCAGTTGCGGAAAAAAAACAAACAAAACGTCGCGACGACAGAAAGCACGGTACAATTAAAGAATTAAACATATATGCTTTCCTATAGTCAAAATAGTTTCTGACACATTACCTCCTGCAGCAGATTAACGGCCTCGCTTTACTTTGCTGAAACGAATTGGTTTCGTTTTGGTTTATCGATTTTCTTTTAGCATTAGCAAGTAGCTGTCTGAGATCCGTTTGTGGGTTTAGGCCCCCACTTTAGTCGTTGGCGATTGGCTGAAAGGGGTTAAGGTGGGTGTTTCCTACTGAAATCTCATTGGTTTATCGGATGATTGACAGACAAAGCAGCAAATCAGATCTCACACCTACTGCCTTCATCATCATACGCCAGTAGCCTACCAACCAGATACAAAGCACGTACGCACACTTTTTAGCGATGTTCTGCAGTCATTAAAAACACTTACGCAAACAAACCATTTTCGATATTGCTCCTCAAAGGTAAAAAGCCTTTCCAGGACCATGTATTATATCCCATTCTGCGTTAATCATGAGTGTAAAAATATTCATTACACATAGTGTATGAAATTAAATAACACATCAAGACAAAATGTTCTGTCGACTAATCAACACATAAAAATTAAAGCCAATGAAATATTTTCAAAGTATTTTATTGAACAATGACACATTTTGCACGAAACATGTGCAGTGAATGCTAAAACTACGAACGTAATCTAAAAACTGTCTAAAACATTTTTTACAATTTCAGAAAGAAAAAAAAAAGTTCCCAGCATTTGCAATTATTTTGGTTAAATGTTTACATTAAGGATAATCTGCACATTGACCAAACAGAAACTGTAACTGATAAAGGCAAATGTTAACGTCAGCATTAAAGAGATGCATTTTCTCAATTTTAAAATGCAAACACTTCCTGTTTTAAGAGGAGTCAATTATAAAAGATGACAACTGGGAAGACAAATGACAGAGCCTTCTAATTTAACAACAGCAACAGATTGTAAGGCATAAAAAAGGTGTACATTTTAGCTTTATAAAAATAAAAATTTAGTCTCTAGGCTGGATTAGGTTTGAGTGTTAAGGACAAGGTCTAGAGAGCTAAATAGATGGGACCTACTTTACACTCTTGGTTAAGTATAATCATATCTTTGGACTATTTTAAGGTGGATCACAAAAAGGGTAATCTAGAAAAAATATCATTCAGACAAAAAAAAAAACACTTTGTTTTAAGTGTAATCGGTTTCTGCGGTTTAACTTAAGAATACAAAAAATTCTGTCAATGTTTGGGTGAACAGAACATATTGATATTTGATGACAACTTCTCTCCCATTTCTCAAGTGCATTAAGAAAACGGTTTTACTAACATTTCATGGAGCCACTAGAGACCTAACCTCTTTGTTTATCCATCACTTTAGTGCATTTTTATATGAAATTAATGTTAGGACTCAAGAAAATCCATAAAATAAATGTTTGAGTTTTCTTTTTTTTTATAAAAGTCCAATAAGAATTACCGACCACAAGCAGTTGAATGATAAAAAAACCTTATACAAATCAAAAATCTTACAATAGGAGATTAGGATCTTTAGAAATATTTGGGGGGTTGATAAACTCTTCAATGAACGTCAAAAACAGAGGAATTACTGGCAAAAAAGGCTAAATTTAAATTAGGAATATAGCAGTAGTTAAAATATAAAGGGTTAATCCAGAATGCCATTGAAAAAAAAAGGTAATTATATGGACAGTTCTAGAAAAAGATTCTCAATGAATGTTAGGTGGGCATGGGAGCTCAACAGTAATAATGGTTGTATTTTACCCACAAAAACTGTAGCTTTATATTCATAGAAAATATATTAAAGGAAGCTGAATCTTTATTGCCTCAACTGGTAGTTCCCGTTACAGGTTTCATTGCTTTTTTTTTTTAGGGCCGAGTAGACGGGAGTGATGATCATCGCCCGTTGCTGTAGCCAGGGAAAAGCTGACTTAGAATGTCCTGCAGAGCTTGGTTGACAGACATGGAGTAGTTCTTGCCCAGGTCATGTCTGCAGGCTGGGCAGGTGTAAACCTCTGCCTTGAAGGACCGTTGGAGGCATTCCTATGGTGAAAAAATATATACACACTTTAAGCATTTTATACAGACTACTGCCAGTGCATCTTCCATTGTTTCCTTGGTTGAAGCCATCCATGTGTTCACATATGACGTGCATAGATTAGAATATCTATAAAACGTAGTGTACACAATTTGGAGTTTCAAAAAAATTCTAATAAATGTGCCCCAGAGAGTAGATACTCTGAAGCTTTAAAAAATAAACCCTGTGCTCCAAATAAACCACTGTGGCCGTATGCTTTTTTCCCACCAACATTGAAGGTTGCAGTACTCTGCAGATGTATCCATAACCCTTTGATCAGGCAAATCCCAAAGACAATCTGTTGCAATGGATTTTATCTAAGAACACACATTCTTCAGATTTCCTTTCATTTAAAAAAATAAAATAAACTGAAAACTATGCATCATATTCCTTTCATGTTAAAGTTAAGCATCACTTTATGTTAGAGATATAATCCCAAACAAACGCACAAATTTCTGCAATTGCAAAAAATTATTATGACTTTACTTCTGTTCAAAGAGGCAAATGAGAAGAGACCCAGCCCGAATAGGTGGTGCGGTTAAAAAAAAAAAAGAAAAGAAAAAAAAGGAGGCTTCTGATAAGTCAGACTAGAGATGCTACATACTAGATAATTTTCAGCTGCGCCACTTAGAATGATTGTTAAAGATTTCCGGGTTCCTACCTTGCAGACATTGTGTTGGCACTCTGTTGTCACAGGCTGATAGACCACTTCTTGGCAGCAAATGCAAAGGAAAACCTCTTCAACCTTGCTCAGAAATTTCTGTAGAAATAAAAACATTAAGATGTTAGAATACGATGAATATATTTATTTACAAGCCAAGTCTATAAACCTACATTAAAGTTGTACCTTCCGAACTGAATGGTTTGGTTTTATAGGATCAGCAAGATACAATTTAATAATCTAAATAAGTCCACAAAGCTTAAGAGACAGATGGCAGGTAAGTAAGCTGGTCCCCAAATGTCAGATTTTTGAACAAATAAGAAATATCCTAACTCATTGATGGGTTCTCAAAGGCAGTAAAATAAAGAGATATTCCAAGGGAATATATTTGCAAAACAAACAAACAGAAAAGATCAACATAATTGAACTGAACAGAATAAAATACCCACCAACTACCTAGTTGACTACCTGGCTATTAAATATAAAAGCATGGAGCAATTTTAAGCTGTTTGAAAAATAAAACAATCAGGAGGGGAAAAAAAAAGATTTGATCTTCAAGATACGTTTTTTGCTGTCAACCTGTGCATTTTATTTCCTAATGTCATCCAACCTTGAGTCTATGTTGTAGACACCATTATTTCTGTGATCATATCAAAATTAAACATTAAATAAGACTTATGTGAACAGTTTATGCATTTATCACCAAGTTTGCCCCAGTAGTAGCCACTCAAAATTTCCCCACTTTCCTTGATGTGTCCTTGGCTGGTCCACTATAATTCCTGTTTAAAAATCAATCTTTGTACTAAAATATTCTGTCATGATTTCTGGAAATTAAGATCTAAAGAGAAGAGTCATCTCCTGGTCAGACCCTGTAATTCAGTGAAAGGGTGGAGTCACAGTGAAATATAAAATATGCACGCCAAGGAGAAGCTGGCTGGAAGTTGGCTGCCATTCACCCAACATTTGACAGGGAAGGTTCATTTTTTAATGGTTACTACTGTATTGCCAGAATACTTAACAAAAAACCAAACAAACGCTTTAATTTCTCATCATCTTACAAAACAGATTTCAGAAAAGGGAAATTTCTTTAATCCCATCTTTGCACATCAAGTTATGTTCATTAACAAAAACAAACAGAAGCCACAGGGTAAGATTCTAATATCTAAAAGCAAATTCATCTTCATAATTTTGAAGCCCATTGCTTCATATTTTTTATTTTTATTTTTTGAGTTGATAATGCTAATCCTGAACTTTAAAAAACGACCATCGGGCTCTGTGAGAACACCTGATGAAAGCAGCTCCCAGAAGAACCAAGAACCAGCGCTAACAAAGCACCACCACCAGTTCAGTCCACACTACAGGCATCATATTTAAGTGCAGGAAATGCTTTTAAAGATTTGCCTTACAAAATGCCTATGTAAATGTGCAGAGATAAAACCATGGGTATTTAAAACTAGCATCTTTACCGGTCCAAGTGACAGTGACTCCATTGCTTCATCCCACAGCTTCTTGTTAGGCTGGTCTTTCTTAATGAGGGATTTCTGCTCCTGTGAAAGTTTATATGCTTCCACTTTGATCTTCTTGGGAGATTTGGCAGGTGAGGTCTTAGATTCTAGAACGAAAAAGAACAGAAATTCACATTTATTGTTTCCATTTTCCATTCACTTTAATACACCGATATAAAAATTGGAACCCAGAGAATAACAGTGGTCATTAAAACAAGTAATTTTCTATCTACGAAGTGTAGACATAAAAAACAAAACACAGAAACAAACAAAAAATATTAACTATTTAACAAGTTAAAGCCATAAAGAACATACCGCTGCCCTGAGATTTCCTCTTCCTCTTTGCCTTGCTGGGTGTCGCTTCCTCCTCTACTTCGTTTTTGTTCTCCTTTTCCTTTTGATAACCAGCAGGATACTGCAACAGCAACCACCACAACCAGTTAGCAAAACACATACCATGAAAATGAGAATCAAAGGTTTGGATGGCATCTTCTTGACACAATATGCCGAATGGTCTTCAGCTTCTCACCTGCATGACAAGACCCAGTTTCTTGACACGCTCCTTCCCGTCCCGGGTCCACGGGGCTGGCTCTTCATCGTCCCGCTTCAGCAGGTAGCGCCACACCAAGAAGCCGGACTTGCCTTTGTCGGGCCAGTACTTCACCACCTGAGCAAATGGGAAGATGCAGAGGAAAAACAAACAAAATAAAACAATTAAACCGATGCTCAAAGTTAACCGTTAGACCCCCCCTCTCTGGGCCCTCTCCTCGTACCTTGTAAATCCCGTCATACCGGTTTCCTTCCTCAGGGCAGTACTTGCTGTGTTTGCGCCCCTTGCAGTTGCGCACCACTCTGACAGGTTTTCCTTGTTTCCAGTTCTTAGATTCTGCGCCGTTTTTGTCATTAACAGGAACATTGCAATTGAGAGCCAAAGCCCTGACACCCAAAAAAAAAAAAAAAAAAGAAAAGAAATAGAAATGTAAGCCACTACATGTGCTGTTGTGAATTACTGCTTCCCTTCTGATTGCCCTACCGGTTCATGTGGGTCAGGGTCTGGTCACATGATTGCTCAGCTGTCCTCTTGTTCCCAGACAGATCTCGCCCTCCTGAGCCGGTATAAGTGAACTCGTTGCCATCATCCTTTGATCAGAAGATAGCAGCGATGTTTTATTTAAACACATCAAGAAAAGATCTCAGTGATGAAAAAAAATAAAAAAAAAATCATAGAACTAAATTCTCTCTTCAAAATTATCCACTTTTTTGCAGATATTAATACAAATAAAACGCTGTACTGTTAGAAATAAAGAAAAAATGCATACCACATCATCTTCGTAGCCTCCTGCTAAAACCAGGGAGTATGCTCCATCATTGCTCCTCCCATGGATCCCAGCAACATGAGGCCTGTGAACACCAGATTCACTCACCTGGGGGAAAAGAATTACATTTTTAGCTTATGTTGTAAACATCACTGTTATATACATTTGTATTTCTATACATATAATTGTTAAACAATTGATATTTGCTTTTAACTCGAGAGGATTTCCTTCACAATTCAAGGACAGTGTTAGCTTTCGGTTTGAAGTAGCAGAACTAGACAAACCTGCACTCTGAACTTCCAGAGAGAACCGACAGGAACACCTGGAATCGGACCATAGTGGTTGGATGGGACAATGGTGCACTGCTTGGTTCGACCCACACAAGCCATTCCCTACACAGATAGAGAGCACTCCTTTAGGTCCCATGAAACAATCTTCCTGTTTGCTTTCATTAGATGAGTATTCAGTGTAAAATCACCTTTCCCCAGTCTCTCTGGCTAGACGAGCTTGCGGAAGCCATCTTCGCCTTCTTCTTGCTTTCCTTTAGCTTTTCTCCAGCCAGAACAACCTCACTGCTGTCGTTACGGCAACCGGGACAATACCTGAAACCGCAAAAACATGTCAAAGTTAAAGCCAACAAACCTCAGAATGAAGATCAACTTTTTTTTTTGGATTCAAGTTAAAGGGCTATTTCACTATATTAAAAAAACTTGCTACGTCCAATTTAAAATGTTAAATACTTAAAAATTACATTATTCTACATTTAACAGGGATTTATAAATAATGAAAACCAGTATATAATCTGAAAAGAGACCTGTTCCAGTACTAAATAAAGCTACACTTCTTAAATTAAACATAGTGCCTCAACAGATTAATGGTGAAAACCAATTAATTTTATGTTCCATTTAGATCTAAAGTTGAAAAGTTGATTACACAGCACCAAGTTTTATTCCAATAAACTTCAAGTCATTTTTATTCACTGGGGTATTTGCAGATGATTGTAAGGAAGAAAAAGCAACCATGAATAAGATTACTATATATACATAAGGTAGCCAACAGCATTGTGTGTAGGGCCGAAACAAACAATTATTTTACTAATCGTTTAATCTTAGTATTTTTTTAGACAAACCGATTAATAATTTGATAGCAAACAGTTCCTTAAATGTGATTTTGTAACTAATACTAAATATTTTCCACTTGAGGGGTCCTGGATAGAGCATATTGACAGATTAAAAAAATTATTATACATCTTAAAAGGTCAAATCTGAGTGGGTTGCTCTACCATCTCAAGGCGTGATTTAGAATCTCTATAATCAGGTTAATGATTAATCAATTACTGAACTAGTTAACAATTATTTAAACAATCCAATAATCACAATTCATTGTTTCAGTGCTAATTGTGTGCATAACGAAAAGACTGAATGTAGGCTCTACTGACCAGTCTTCGTCTTCAGGGATAGAGGTCAGTGGAGGATTCAGACAGTATGTGTGATAGGCCATGTCGCACTCATCACACAGCAGCTGCTTGTCAGGATCCTGTTTGATGCCACAGATGTGGCAGTTACACCAACGGCAGTTTTTATTCACATCGTCCTTGCAGTGCTTACATTCAGGCCCATTTGATCCTATAGGGAACAGATATCCGACATAAACAACAACAACGTGGTTGGTTAGGAGCTACATTGTTAGGGATGATCCCTTATAAAAGTTGAGAGGAAACAGAAGCCTGATTCCTGATATTCAGACTCACTTTTTAACGGGCTTTCTGTTCCAGCTGGAGCGTCACTCAAAGAACCGGGCTCCTCGATTTTATAGATTTCAGTTATGAAAATGATCCGGCAGTCATTAAGGGAGTCACCTGCATCGCTGCAAAGAAAAAACAAACTGTTAACCGTCAGCTCCAGACACTGTGACCATTATTGAGCAATCCTCAGAGACCACAGCAGGAAACCTGCCTCTAGATACCAGCTGCTGTGCCAGCACAAACCACACCAACAGAGATGCTGTTACCATGCTCACCTGTTACCACAGATAATAACTCCAGGTAAAACTACTCCAAACTTTATTCAGGAAAAATGACTTGCATCCGTACCCAAGGATGATCTTGGCGTAGATTTCTCGGATGGTGCGAGTCTCGCGCTTCCTCTGGATTTCGGCATCGTACCAGTAGCCACGCTCCTTGGGATCATCGGGATTATAGTTGACCATAACGACCATCCCAGGCTCCAGCTGATGCCACTGGTAGACGGTACGGGCTCGTGGGCGAACATCTTTGGCCAGTAGCTGAATCACACCGTTCTCTGGGTAACTAAAACAGTTCATACATTAAGCCACATTTCCCTCCAAGGTTTTTCACACAGTGCTTCATTTAAGGGAGATGTATGCATCTAAACGGCATCAGAAAGCAACTGCTACAGAAGCAGCAGGCTCTCACAGCTCTACACCACGCCCATGAATTTCCTCCCATCTCTAATAAAATTTAAGCCAAATTTATCAAAATTATTAATTCATACTCATCACCCCCCGCCCCCTCCAACAAAAATCGAGCCAATGCAGAAAAGCTCAAAAAAACTTTTTTTTTTCTAGTTCCTCTTAAATAGAAAAAAAAAATGCAGGCAACAAAGTTATATTTTTTGTTTCGTTTTATACCAATATGGCGAGAGGAGCCACAAACGTTCAACACAGCTTATCAAAATTGGCTACACAGCAGTGGTTTTTCCAGTTCCCATTTTTGCTGCCGGCTATAGACTGAACAATTCATGGCCAACAAAAAAAAAAAAAAAGAAAAGAAAACCTAGGGGACTTTTTAGAGTTGGAATAATGTTCTTCTGGTTTTTCATAATAATGCATGTTTGACTTATTGCTAAACATCAAAATAAACTTTCCACTAGGGAACTGCAGCTAGTTCTAAAGGTAAGGACACCACTAGTTGAGGGACAATTGAATAATGATAAACTGCAGCCATCATGTACAGGAATGTCAGCAGTGGTGACTGTAGTTTTCTTAAGATCACAGACATGTCTTCACATCAAATTCTGGTCTAAATGACATCGAGAGCTCCTTTTAATGGTTTATAACAGGCATATCTAAAGATGGTTCTCGAGGGCAGCTGTCCTCCATGTTTCTCGCCTTCAGCAAAGCTGATTCTAGTGATTGCTGTTCTACAAAAGCCTGTTAATCAGCTTATAAGGGAAACAACTGTGCTGAAGCAGGGACACTTCTAAGAACTACATAAACATATAGTAATATAAAAGGTCTTCTTTAGTAACAAAGTCAGGCTGCAACTAACGATTATTTAGCAAATCGATTAATCTAAATATTTTTTCGATTAATAATCGGATAGCCAAAGGTTCCTTAAAGAAGAGCATATTAAAGGATGAAAAATAACTTTATACATCATGAATGCAAAATCTATGTATATATATATATTATTTTACAATTATGGTTTAATTACTGCTTTAAGTGGTTGCTCTTTTAGCTAAAGATGTTTTAGAATCTCTATACTCAAGTTAATGATGAATCGATTACAACTAATTAATCATTAATCACGATTAATTTTAGCCCTAGAAAAAAGCCTGAGTATTTAGGTTAGATATCAGACTGAACTAAGTTGAAATAAGTTCTCAATCAGCTGTGTCATAATAGAGAGTAACTTTAAAATCATGGCTTATTTGTAGATTTCAATCCATTGTGTATAAATTTGTTTTTTGGTTAAAAGGGAATAAATGTTTTATTCAGTCACTGAAACATGATAAACCCAGCAAAGAACGCAGGGACGGAGTTTTCAGCAACTTCAAACTAAAACCCCCCAAAGCCAAGCTCAATGTTGGCCAAGCGTGGTATGATAACGCGATAATTTCATTTCAAGTATTTTTTCTTTCGTAATGGTGAACGGGTTCACAATTACCACCCCCAATGACTAAGTAGACACAGCTCTGTACCACTCACTATTGTAGGAAGTTACATGCTGTCTGAGCAACAAGCCAACAAGAAGAACTGAAGGCAGGTTTATACTCAGAAACCAGGTTGTCTGCGTGTGGGTCGCAGTGAACACAAATGTGCTAGCGCCCCTGCCGCAGACACTCTGGTGCACCTCTCCAAAATTGTATGTGACCGCAGACAGGAGGAATCTGATTGGTCGACTCTACATCCGCTCTACACTATGCGTATTTCCGAGGAGCGAGGTGCGCGAGAACGCTGGGACACTTTTTCCACCTGGATCCCCGCTGTTTTTTGCCCTCATGTCCATCCGTTGTCACCGAAACTTGCCCCCACTTCCTCACCGCCTCGGCCGTATCTAGACCCATAGCTAGTTTGTGATTTTCCATCTTGCATTGTGGTGTGGAATAACATAGTGCAGACAACACTTCAATATTGGGCCTAAATAAAAAAATATCTGCAACAAGACTGCTGCGGGGAGTATAACCAACTTCTAAGCCTTAAACACACATCAGTACCAAAACCCGGTAGGCACATTAACGACTTTCCCTTAAGATACGTTAGATAGGTTTTACTGAATTGCAGCGGCACCTCAGACAGGGGCTCGACTTTCATGATTTATGACTGAACGGTTCATTGAGAAAGGCTGGGAACTCACAAAGCTAGGCTTATGTATGCAATAAAAAACAAAGACCCACAAGAGCCACTGCAAACTCTAGCAAGGAGACTTTCTGTACATATAGACATTGCAAGGAAACAATATACTGCTTGAGAATAAAACCAGAAAAGTTGGGACAAAACAAACAAAAAACGTAAACATATCAATGCACTTAATAGAACACCTGACTAAGAAAGACTCCAAGCTGGTAAAAACAGAAAAAAAAAAGAACCATTCTTACTCTTCATATTTAACATGGTACAAGATGTCCTCTTCTGTCTGTCCATCAGCGGCCTCTTCTTTGGGCGTCTTTGCTGTTTTGGTGACATTGACAATCTGGGCCTCAAACCATGCTCCCATGTTCAAGTCTCTTGCATCTACCAGCTCATTGATCTTGAGACAAAAACAAAAACAGCAGTTAGCAACTGACAGTTTCCACCTTGTCTCAGACTGGATCTTAAAAATTGTTAAATTGGTAAACAAAGTCTTTCTAAAGGTTTGAAACTGGAACAGATTATCTAGAACAGGGGTCTGAATCCTCTGGAGGCACATGTGGCTCTTTGCAGTTCTCTACAATGGCTCTAAACGGTGGCTAAAATGATATAAAGAGCTAATTAATGTACAATGATAAACACCAGTCTTACAAGCTTTATTGTTTTTTTATAAGAAATATTTCAAATAAATTCTCACAACACAATGACATTAAATAAATCAGAAACATGTTTTTAGGGCCATGTATTTCAATTGGCTTGGCAATTATGTGTTTTATCATATATTTTTTAAATCAAATAATACCCCAAGAAAGAAAATCTATGTTTCAACTTAATGAATCACTGTTTTTCCTCATATCAAAAGCTAAAAATACAAATAAATTGATGGTTGTTTAAGATGGCAACAGATTTGTTATATTTAAGATCAATAGATTGTGTTTTATTAAAAAGTTATGTAACTTTTTTTGGCTCTAGGTGGAATCAGGGCAAAATGGATCTTTGAATATGAAAGGTTGCAGACCCCTGATCTATACAAACATTAAAAAAAAATCTACTTTAAATAATTAATAATTTTAAATAAATCATGTTTTTCTTGGAAAAATATTACTTTGTTTTGACACAGCTTCACAGGTCCCTCTACATTTGCCACACAATCGTTAATAGAAATACCTTGTAAAATCCAAAACCAGGATAGACAAGCTCCTGTGTGTTTGTAAGGGCAGAGGTTCCAGCGGTTTGGCCCTCGACCTCCCCATGGGTCGAGTTCTTGTCAGACTCGCTCTGGGTTGAGCCGCAGCCAGAATCCGAGTCGGAGAGCTCGGCTTCTTTGTCTTTGCTTTTGACGACGTCAACAGCGGGGGCCTTCTGCCTGACAAGCAGCTGCACTATGTCGTTCAGGCCAACATTGTAGTCAAATATAGTGTGGCCATCTTCCATCTGATATTAAAAAAATAAAAATATGCATTAAAAATTCTGTTAGACCAGAACAAAAAGAACAATTTAAGCTAACCAGCTCACCTGTTTTCCTCGATAGAAAAGCCTCTGCCTGTCTGGCTCCACATTGAACAGCTCCACGATTTTTAAGCGAAGCTCATCAACCTTAGTGAGTTTGGACAGGTTATCCACCCGATGGGTCTCCTTCCCATCCATCGTGCGAACTTGAATCCACATTGCAGCTGCCCTACAAATAAAAATATGTCCAACAAACAACAAATACTGTGAATGTTATGAGTCAACAAACACCAATTTCCTGATGAATTAAAACCAAATCTCCCACAACAGATTTGAGAGTGATGGATGTCATGGTTTCATCGAGTCTCCACTATTGTGACTGCCTTTTATTATAGGATCACACTAGCTTGTTCTGTTAAAAACAGAGCAGCAGGACCTCTTGCAGCCACATCTCAGAATAGGAAATGCCTTTATTGTCAAACAATGGGGATATTCTGGTAAAGTCTGAGGTGGATCTCCAACCAACAACCTCAGGAGTGGAATTCCACTAGCAATGGCATCTACCTTAGCTATAGGTGGAACCCTGCTCTGGCCTCCAATTTAATTCAAAATAAACAGAGATATTTGAATCTGTAAAAAAGAAAAACTGCCAGGTGTTTACTGCTGAAAACATCACAGAGTAAAGGGATAATCTAACCTATAGAAACATGTCATTTCATACCTTTAAATTCAACTCACATTTAAGTTCTGTTACAAAAGCTAAAGGTTCTTGTGAGACCAATCTGATCTTGTCAAAATTATCCTTGCATTTCAATTTGTAGACACAATACAGGATTGATTTATAAAAACGCTGTAATTCGGCACTTTTAAAGGGAGTAGCGAGATTCTACTGTCACATTAAGCCAGACAGGAGACCTGCTAAACTTCATAAAGATGGTGGGCGTCCCAAAAGGTATGCGTTTTTAAACTATATTTAAGGTTTCAGCATCTTTAAAATGCTGCTATTTATTAGGGGTGTAAATCACACCCATTATGGCGATCCGATTCAGTATCAATTTGCTATACTCAAGAATACACCATGATACGATTCGATTAATTGATCATTTAAAAATAAATCAATGAACGCTGTAATATCATCATGCATTTTATTTGAGAAACAACAGCAAATAACAGAAGTAGCAAAGTTGTACTCCACCTAGGCCTATGAAAACCTCATTCACTGAAAAATAATGCCTCTTTTTTATAAAATCTGAAAGGCCTGTCACTACTCGACTTGTTCTGCGCATGCACTATGAGCTCATTTGCGCATCCAGATATACATCCGGGTTGTTTTCCATTTCCTTTTGTTAAAAACACGGAAATTACATTTTCCCTCCCCAAAGATAGTGAAGGTACTCAAATATATTATGTTAAAGGTTTACAATGCATTTCCTGAAAAATTTGGAGAGATTCGGGCAGGGACTACTGTTTTATCAGTCCTCTCTGACCAATTTGGACCGGAAATGGTATCCTACGCTACTTCTAGTGGCTTTTTTGGCTTTGGATTTAAACATAAATCTAGTCTTTTTGAGTTTTACGTTTTGGTTTTGTTTTTACCAAATGCTATATAGTGCATAATCTAAAGAAAGAAACAACAAAAATGCAGATAAACATGGTTTAATCATATAAATAATTACATTATTTATAGACACCTGGATGTACATCTATTCGCGCAGAACAAAATGTGCTTCTGGGACGGATCGGGTAATCAGAAGGCCTTGCATCAAAAAATACTGCAAGCAGAGAGAGGCTAGTGGCTAAAGGAAGCGAGGCAGGAGGGCAACATAGGTTTAGTGCCACGGCAGCACGGGAGTCAGAATTACATCCAGGAGCAAATGGATAAAAATAGACCGTAGGGAAGGGGGGGGGAAAAACAAAAAACAAAACATGACCCAATACTCTTGCGGACGTGTCGATGCAGCGTTTCGTCGGCTGTTGGATCGATACAAAACTTATTATCTACACCCCTACTATGTATATAATTTTCATATCAGATTTGGCTGTATGCATTATTCAACTCCTGCACAAACATTAAATATTGTTTGTACATATTTCAGAGAACAGAAGTAAACAAAGTTCTCCAAAACCGAATCAGAGCTGTAAAGAGGGTTCCTTTTTTACTTTTTTTGTCCCTTGAAATAAAAATTTAAGATGAACTTCACAACACACACAAGAAAACCACTACTTTTTGGCCCAGTAGAAATGTTTACAATTTTGAAAATCTTTCCATATAGGAAGAAAACTAAAAACACACTAATAACATATTTTTAACAACTAATAAATGGAATTCACAAACTTTATTTTGATCCCTACTCAAAGTCCATAATAGCTCTGATTTCACTGTAGGGGAACCACCAAACATTATCCGGAGGTTTGGTGCTTTTTGTGACGTTGGAGATGCTGTAGAGGCCTTGCAGAGGCAGGCTGGAACAGAACTGAGAAATAGCTGCTACTTTCACATGTCTGACTCCACAGCTTTGATTCCCATTGTGCCGAGCTTGAATGACTTCTTGCTCAAACTACGCCATTCCCCATATACCTTCCTCAGTACCGTTTTCATCTTGCATCACCCCATGGTCTGTTTGCAACGTTGTTTTTATCAGATCTGCTGTCAGGATGGAACTAATAATGGTTCCACCCAATGGCGTAAATATCAATAAGCAGGGACAACAGTTGCTTACGGGCCCACGACCTCTTAGGGGCCCCATCATAGACATCTTGTGACCCCCCTACGCAATTGTAGACTAGTATGTCTCTTTGTAGATGAAATGGTGTGAAAAAAATCATTTTAAACCCACCTGATACGGAAGTGACCGACTACACCGGACCGTATTTACACCCCAGATTTCAACATGATGGTGAGCTGTATAAACACAACACCAATAGCAAAGCAGACAGTGGTACTTTTAATTACTATTTTAATAACCCTGCATAGTTCATTAGACGGTTGTTAAAAAATACACTCATGTTTCAAAACCCAATAAAGATCTTAAAAGAATGATGTATTTGAGTATTTTATTTTTTACACTACAACTTGGAATTATGGGTAACCCAAAGCGTGGATGCACGTAGATAAGCATCTCCCTGAAATGACTTTTTGGAACTTGGGATGTCTGTATCATGTGGTGGTGCGCTGTCACCAATGAATTGTGATGTGTGATCATTTACTACTGAGAATTGCATAATTGTATCTTCTTGGCCGATTTATGGAACTGTCTGCGTATCTTGAACCTTTATCACGTGTTGTACTTCATATGAGACCCACCCAGATAATGTTGCTTACGGACCTTTTGTTGTGCTGTCACTCCATTAGTTCCAGCTAAGCTGTTCGGTAAATGTCAAAAAATTAATAAAGTTATTTTAAATTTTTTATATGAATTACAAAAATAAAATCCTGTTTATGACCTGGTTACCATTTTAAGACCTTTGAAAGACTGGTTTAAGACATTTTAATACCAATTAAGGCCTTTTTTTATATTGAAGAATTGAATGCCTTTTTAAGGATCTGCAGGAACCCTGCTGTAAAGGATCAGAGGGGTTACTCTGCCCCCTTTGCTTCCTGCTGTGAGTACAGTATGGTGTCTGCTGTTATCACAGCCTGCAGAAAGGGAGGGAATAGGCTGATTTAAATACAGTGCGGGAAATCAGTCTTCAGGCCACACCCCCTTTTTCTTTTAAAAGCACATCCGGACGCGAGGGAGCGCTAGCAAACAATGTGCCTTCGATTTCCGACTATAAAACACGGTGGAATATGACATTATTTGGTTCTACAGTAATATATGATTAGTATACAACTCACTTGGACTCTATTAATTAATAAGAGGAAAAGCTCCCCGCCTCTACGGCTTTCGTGTAGGATGGAAATAATACTAAGAAAGCGAACAAAATTAGCATAAAATTGATATTTTATAAAAACAAGTTGACTAAAAAACAATACCCTCAATTCATTACTAGTAATTTGCCTAATATTTTACTTCCAGCGTGTTCTAGAGAAAATAAAAAACAAAATCTTTTACTTTATGCCAAGCAAGGGAAACAGGAAAATGGGCAGTGGTGTGTTAGCATTCATTCGGTGGTTCAACCGTTTTCACAAAGAGCTGCAGTTCACTGCAAACAAACAGAAAATAACTTCTACCCAACCAAGTTTAAAGCGCACAGCAAGTCAGGTTACAGTCCGTTTCTGTTTCTTTTCAGCCATTTTTTTTACCAGATCACCGACGTGAAACAGAACTATGGGCAAGAGATGAATAATTAAATCTAGGTGACCCTGAACCACATATGAGGCCTTTCAGTGATTTTATATCGGCAGCAAAAGCGAAGCAACACCAGACTTAGCTCAGAGTACGAACAATTGAATAAAGATGTAAATGAAAATACAATAACAGCCATTCGAAAGTTAGCAGTAGTCGAAAAAATGGTTTACCTGTTTGATAGTCCAAAATAAAATCGGGATAAGAATTAAACGTGAACGTTTTACTCCTAAGTTATTTATTTCTATGGGTTTATGCGACCAACTCCAGCCCTTGTTGGAGATTGATCAATGAGTTATTCTTCAACACTTTGTAAACCCCCCTGTTCCATAGGTCCGCCATGCTGATTGGGTGATTGCTTCTCACAATTCACATTTGATTGGCTCATAGGGTTGTCAATCTGAACCCTGACTGGAGCTTAGAGTCAGCGCGCGAAACAACATTCTCGTGGGTGCAGCGCTCCTCCGGGAAAGTATCGCGAGACAAAGGAGTCCTGCCGACAAACATATGGTTCTGGTAAACAACGTTGTTGTAGACCTAAAGGAGTACCCTATGCCTGCTTAATTTATTTTCAGAAGTCAATTAAGACACAATTTATTTTTTTGTCGAACAGAACTAATGTTTACAGTCTATGGTTTTGAATTTTCCTGTAGAATCTTTTAGAAGGAAGACACTTTTTCACTTTTGAAAAAAGTTCATGAGAGCACAACATACAAGTGGAAGTTTAGAATATGATATGCCTTATTTTCTTTCTATACAGAATAATATATTACATTGTCCCTGTTGTATATTATTTCACAATATCTGGATGATTGATGTCTGTTGTAGGTTTAAATTTAAATTATTTTTTTATTATTATTTGATTATTTTATGTTGGTTAAATTAGTCTATATAATGTGAGATACCAGGGACAAAGAACATTTTCAGTTCAATGAGCAATTATTAACCCCAGCATCAACACTGTGTTTAGGTGAAGTATGAATACATTTAAAAGACTTACAACCAGAATGAACCGATTAACTATGAGCATACTATAAAAAAAAAAAAAAAACATCACATTGATTGACCATGATCTGATATGACTGTTTCCACTATTTACCATAGGTGGTAGCCATTTTCTAACAGATACCCATCATATTTGTAAAAAACAAAAACAAAAAAAAAACAGCTTAATTATTTATAAAGCAGCCCTAAAGGAGGTTTGGCATAAAGATGCCTTGCACAAAAGAAGAGCTTATTGGACACAGATGCTGCTTATATCTGACAGTTTAATAAAAGAAAAACACTTAGATCAACAAACTGTTATTGCTTTAAATTGAATGACTCAAAAATAATCCAGCTTTTGCTTCAATGAAATTATACAAGGTTTTATATCGTAATACATTTCCAATCATTGTTTTGTAAAACTGCTCTTGCTCACTATAAATCATGTACAACCATAAACTTCAACAATAAATATGCACGTTATAAACAGTTACATTTATTATAGATACTATTTTTCTATGTAATATAAATTGCAGTATTTATATGTGCTTTAAATCTATTAAACCCCAATGAAAGGTTTGTAATAAACTAGAATACCAGTTGAGTGATAAAATACAGATGGTGTGGCTTTGACCCAAGGTCAAAGTAAAAGTCCCACTCTACGAAATCATATTAAAAATGGGGAAAAGAAAGCAATTCATTGTGTCTTGCATTGGACATGTGTAAACTCCCTCAAGATTAATAAGTTTAATTGGAAATGGCAGGTTTTATATATAATTTTTTTTAAATAACACCAAAGCAAAAAGCAAATTTTGATCAAAGTGGTGGTAATTCTTGCAGGCTGTGTGGCGTTCATGTCTATGATCAATACAATGTTTTTTGGGAATGTGCAAAAATAAACCCTTTTTGGGCGACAGAGCCACAAAGAGATGTGTATACTTGTTCAGTAATAAATTACCTTTGTAGTTCTTATTTTTGTTTTTGGGACCTGTGATTTCCTGATCAAACAGGCTAATAAGTATTTAACATTTTTTACTTAGAATGCAAAAACTGCAAAAACAGCTTACAAGACACTGACTGCTTCTAAGGTTCCCTACAGTTTCAGAACGGCTAGATATTGTTTATGAAATGTATACATAATCTACCAATGCCAATATTAATAAGAAAAAAAGACAGCAACTGATCAAAATTCCTTTTGGGTTTTTGAGTTGAAAATAATTATTGCTGCCTCAAAAAATTAATATAATATACTTACTTAAAATCTGAAAGTACAAAGTCAAAATTACCTCATAAAATTACCAAATGAGAATATATTTAGCAAGATAGCAACAATTAATAGAAAAGAAAAAAAAAATAGGAAAATTAATATATGAAAAGATATTCTCCTTCCATTTATGTTAGTAAGTAACCCAAATATCACTTCTTGTGTTTTAGAATAAATTCAATAAAAATTCAAAGTCACTTCATTAATCCCAAAGGGAAATTAAATAATATAGGCATATATATAATAATATGTATATTCTTATTCTAGATTCTCACAGGAAATATAGCGTTCTCTCTAAAATAACCAAAATAATGCATTGGACACTTGACAGCATGCAACTTTTACTTCTAAAGAGATTCTTTATTCATTCCTGTTCATATTAGGAAAGATGTTTGTGTTAAAATCTTCCAACTTTTTCATTCTATTGAAAACGGGCAGTATATTCTCTAAGAAGCTTAATTTATTGGAGGAATTCCAGCTGCTGAATAATAGGAGCAGAAGACTCCCTTGGTTGACCTTTTAAAATTAAGCACTTGTGAAGGAACTATTTTGTTTTCTCGACCAAATAATTTCTTTTAAGCAGATATAAAATCTCTTACATTGCACTTACTATAAAATCCTGAGCATATGACTCAAAAGTCACACGTGTAAGTCTAAGCATCAATATTTTACTCTGAGGTGAAATTATTACTTGTTGAAATTCCAACCAATTTATATAAAACATGGCAAAATCAAAGCGGCGTCTCAGCTGTATGGCGTCTCTGGTGTGCTTGATCCTGGACACAGCTGCTTGGGATGCGTTGAACAGCACTCTGAACTTAGAGAGGATGACAGGAAGTGGACGCGACAGGCTAGGTCGTCCAGGAAATCTTTTTGAAGTTTTGCTATTGCTTGAGACAACACAACTGGCAGTGACTGCACTCCATGAAGGATGGAGTCCAGTTTCTCTTCCAGAGCAACAATCCTCTTGTCCAGCTCCCCAGTTCGATGTTGCAGGTCTGAGACCAGATCGTACATCATGTTCTGAGTCTGGAAGGCAACACAGAGAACAGTAACCTGAAACTATTTAAATCGCTTTCTTTGGCATGAAGCACGTAGTTAGCCTTCATTTAATAACTATGTTAGATTAAAAAAGAATTAATCAAAACTAATGCATTCACTCCTCTAGTGTGTTTTTTTTTTGCTGAAAATTAAATCATTATTTTTTTTCAGGACCCCACCAAATATATAAAATGCAAAAGGTACAAAACATAAGAAGTAAATACAGATTGCAAACATCAAAAACACCAGTTTGGGTTTTTAGTTTACTGTTCGGAAGAAAATACACAAACCTTTGCAAGATCAGCCACAGTATTTGCCTGGTCAGTTAGTTTCCTTTGCTCCATTTTGAGTCTTCTCAGTCTGAAGGTAAAGACCCATATTAATTTATCCTAAATCACTTAAAAGATAGTTATCTAAATTCACAGTAAAACTGTACGACAGACTTCCAGATTCAAACAAATAATAATGATACTTACTGGTGAATGGCCTGAAGGAACTTCCGTTGATGGTGGCGTACGCGGGCGTGGTCGATCTTCTTTACCAGCTTTGTGTTTTTGTAGATGAGCCAAGTCTCCCTTAAAACATTGGCAGCTATGTTTTTTATCTAATGAAGGAATTCAAAAGAGAAAAACAGCTGTTTTATAGTGACTTCGGTTGATAAATGACATCATTTTCATTGACAAAATTTTGCCACTTTGTAGCTCTGCATTCATTTGATAATCATACCATTTTCTATCATTTAACTGAAAAAAAAAAAAAAACAACCCGTTATTTTCAAGAAAAAAAAAACAGAAAAGTTTTCATTGAAGAAATAAGCACTGCTGTATCCAAACAGACCTTTTTGTAAAGTTGAGTATCCATCATAAAGTTATGCACATGTTTTTCAGCTCTTGTGAGCTCCGACTTCCTTGCAACCACAGCCACCACCAATGCTGTGCAACCTGCCCCCTGTTGAAAAGAACAGCTGCTGTTGGCATCACAACAGTGATTTATTAAAATTTTTCTAAAACATCCAGGATTTATAAAAAGAGAAAATACGTTATTTCTAAAGAAAATGTATTCCTATATCGTCATTTTCTTGTATATTTCTCACCATAATTCCTGTTAGCAGGCAAACTCCTTTACCACAGTAGGTGTGAGGGACCATATCTCCATAACCAATGGACAGGAAAGTGATGGAGATCAACCACATTGCTCCTAAGAAAGTGCTTGTTACTTCCTGTGCATCATGATACCTGCTGGGACAGAGACACCAGGCGCTGTATTAGAAAAAAGTGTTACAGCTATAAGACTAGTCGGAGGTTTGCTTCGATTCATCAGGAACGTGGAAGTCATATGCACTGAAATACTTTATTTTTGTGGTGTAAGTACTGTACAACAAAAAGTTCCAGTGTTTTTGATAATCACACCACACTATATTAAAGTTTTAACTAACTAACCCAAACTGTCACCTCCAGATGACAGGAAATTAGTTAGGATAATCAGGGACAAACTAGAACTGTCAGAAACCAAACCTGCCATCAACAAGAAACTTCTGGAACTTGACATTACTGCTACTTACCTGCACAAGTCAAATGTATATGGGAAAAAGTCTCAAAGAACGTTTTTTAAATACGGTCCAGGTAACAAAACTAATTTAGCCATGAGCCATAATCTTTTTTAAAGAGATAAAAAAGATAATTTATGTTTAATGAATATCTAACAAAGATTGGTCCTTTTTTAACTATTCACTGTGCCCTTTCAACTTTTAGCTTTCAAAATGAAGGAAAAAAATACATACAAAAAATAATAAATGGTTAAATTTTATTTTCCCACTGCTGAGTCTGCCATGTCATTTTTAAAGGCTGAATGAAAATACAGTTACCTGTAATGTAACCTATTCTTACATACTATTGATTTAGTAAGTCTTATAACTAAAATGTATAGTGTAATTACTGTATGTTTTATGTTTATTTTGATCTTATTCTTTGAAACACCAGAGTTTGCATATAACTCAATATTTTGTTCAATTTTACATCATTTTGTAAAATACTACATTACTCAATTATTATAATCATGGTTACTAAGTAGATCAGTTAATTATTACTTGATTAGCTTTTTTTTTTACCAAATACTTTTTTTCCTCTTATTTGAGAAAATGCTTTACTTTTACTTGAATCAAAATGTGATGAAGTTGTTCTACTCTTTCTTAAGTACATTTTTGGGTACTTTACTCACCTTTGTATTTATAGACAATATATTCTGGAAATTCAATGCAATTAGTCAAAGAAGAGAATTCTATCCAGCAGTATAAAATGCCAATTGTGGCTCAAGAGCCACAGGTTGCAGGCCCCTTTTCCAGAACGATCCTGGCCTGAACCTTTTGAAAGTGAATAAGCTTTAAATTCAAGTGTGTCAGCAAATGAAATATTTAAATGAACAAATGCCTTCTGATTGGAAAAAGGGAGTCAGACAAACAGAATTGTGCTAGAATGTGCAGTCAAGGTGGGGGCTGCAGTGTGACATTTGGTCAAAATAAGTGAACATCCATGTGTCATCTTGACAGTGAAAAAGCATCAATATGAATAAAATGATTATATCTATGCTGACAGTCTACTTGACAAGAACTGCACATGAAATTTACATATATATATATATATATATATATATATATATATATATATATATATATATATATATATATATATATATATATATATCTGAAGAAAAAAAAATATATATATATATATTTTATTTTTTTTTTACTGTTAGGCTGTCAATTTTAACACATATATTTAAAACTAATACCTCTCACATACACGGACTGTCCATGCTGCAATGATCCAACAGGACACACTAAAGACCAGGAGGACAGTCCCAGGACAGATGGTCATCAGAGTCTTCATGACAAAACGAGTGTCAAAATTAATCTTATTGAGGGCCCCGATGCTGCGTGAGGAGGCGTCTGTGAAGAGTTTGCTGTGGAGCAGCATGACGCGTCCGATCAGGTAGAGGCGCAGGAACATCGGCACAGAAAGAAAGATGTCTACATCAGCATCTGCCACAGATGATGTGTAGCTGAAGGCCAGGCGTGCCGTCCAGGTGAACACATACTGGCCTGGGATTGGATGGATGGCACAGATAAGGAGCTCCAACGCAATTAAGAGGATCCTCTCAAAGGTCATTGCTATTCTCCAGTCATCTGCCCCATTGTCTACCATGAAGAGCTGAGGACGAGAATAGGAATTATGGATAAAGGTCTGCAAACAATTATTGCAAATTAACAAAATTTTCTCTTTGTTGAAATATAGGAAAATGAGATTGATTTATCATGAAAATGAATGCAACCCAATGTTTAATAGGACACTTTTCTTCCCCTTCTCAATCATTTGGGGAAGTTTGTCTAGTTTACCGAAGATGGTACTGAACAATGAAATTCTGATCTGATCTTGCAAGTAAGATCCTCCTTTAAAACCCTTTCTAAATGATGCTCTTAAATACAGAATTTATCAGAATCACAGCCAAAATTTTAATCTTGGTCTGTGGAACCCAGCTAGAACGAAATAAGGTTACCCAATCATCAAGTTTTTAATTTTTGTGAAAAAAAATTGGGGGAAATGTATAAATTTAAGGGAAAATTTCAAAAAAATTTTGTACTTTGTCTTTCCTTAATTACCAATTTCCAAGTAATCTATTTTGAATCATTTCTTTGAGTAGTTTAAAAAAAGTTTAGAACATCGATCCTACCTGTATTTCTCTCACATGGTACATCAGAATGAGTCCAAGCAGAATTGCGGTTGAAATGCTGATCAAACCTTTCAGTACATAAGAATAGATGGATTCCTGTCCACAGTGGAGACAAGCATATTAATATATAGTCTGTTGTGAGAACCACATAAAACAGTGATTGTGAAACTCTCAAAGTTACAGAATCAAAACAAAACCCTCAAATTATGAGTTATAAAAAAAAAATGAATAAAATAAAAAGACTTGGAGGGGGCTCACAATACTTGCTCCAGAATTCATTATAGTGGACTCATGACCTTTGCATTATCAGACTCTAGCTCAGCTAATAGCTTATAAAGCCATCTGAAACTCTGATTTCTACCTGCACAGCCCATGTCACAAGATAATAAAATATATATGTAACCAAGCCTCATTTTACATAAAAAAAAAATCAATTTCAATAAGTGACAATCAGTTTCTTGGGACTAAGAATTATATGTTCTTTCATATTGGGTACCTTAGTGTAAAAAGCCCTCGAAAGCTCTGTCTCAATGACCATGGCAATAATACCAAACATCCCACAGACCAGCGCGTAGTCGCTCAGCTGTTTGCGCTTCCCAAACAAGGCTCTCCTCTGACCCAGCCGATAGCTGATGTCCTTCGTCTTCTTATGTGGTTTGCTTCCCTCGGACGTGTTCAGGCTCTCTCTTGTGGCCTTACTAGAGTCTTCTCCAGTTGTCTTGGACAAGGTGTCGTCTAGGATGGCACTGTGAAGCAGCTGAAGTTGCTGCTGGTCTGAAGGAAAATCTGCAAAACTTGAGCTTAAAGTACCCAGGCTGCTGAGTGGCCGCACTGCATCCCCATTTTGGACATTGTCACTATCTAGGGTCTCGGTAAATGGAGGAAATGGTTTGGGAGGAGATAGTTTGGATGCAATGAGATGTGGTAATGCTTCCTGCAAAAGATGGTGACATTCGGCATGAAACAGGGAATTTCCAATTGCCTTGAGAGTAACAACATTTGCAAATATTTCAATAGAAATACGCACACAAAAACTGACATACCTGACCCTCTTGCTCTCTTGTTCTCTCTGTTAAATCCTGGTTTTCAAGCAAACTACACTGGCTGGTGGAGAAAGACATGAAACTTCTCTGACTGGCTGGTGTAACTGACCTCTTTCCCCACGGCATTCTGGTCAGGCGGTTGTAAGGAAGATGGCGACACTTGAGCGCAAATGCTGACTCTCCAGATGGCTTCCATGTTTGATCACCAGTTAGTGAGCAGTGAGATTCTCTCCTTTGGTACTGCTGCGCCAAAAGAGGTTCTTTGCCAAAAAGCTCGCTCCAGTTGACATCTGAACCAACTGTAGAAAGTTTGTTATTCGCTATGGCACACTGAGCTGAGTTCAGAGGAATGTTGAACAGCTCTGACGGAGCTAAACGGCTGCAGTCTCTGGCTCTGCAGCGCTGTTCTTTATCACCATCTTGCTCATAGCACTGAGGCACGATGGTGTTCTTTGTGTGGTATGTAGGAGGTTTTCGATGATCTTTGTTATTTGGTGGTTGTGTTGAAACCTGGCAAGTGGTGGAAGGGTGGATGCTTTCAGAGAAGGGCAGGGTATGAGGTGATGAAACACTTCTTTTACTTCGCACTCTTGAGATGTTTTCTCTATTTGATTGTGGCTGTAAGCTTAAGACTTCAGCCTGTTGGAGAGCATCCGGACAGGGGCAGCCACATCTATCCCTATGAGTTGAATTTTCCACAGCATCTTCGGTTCTTCCTGCTAAGCGTAGATCCTCGCCACAAAGCATCTGCCAATCTTGGTCACTGAGCTGTGACAGTGAGAGGTTCTGGGTTTTCTCAGGTGACCTCTGAGCCAAACCTCTTGGAGGACAGATTCCATTAGATTTCTCATGGAGGGAAGATGAAGCACAGCAGATACTCTTCTTCTGGGGAGATGAGGAGGACTTGCCTGGGCTTCCAGAGAACGGATGGTGTTTCTCCTCAGGACCTCCTGTAGCGCAAGGTTGATGTTCTCCATCTTGAAAGACTTCACCTGTTGAGTCAAGACGTCTTGTCGCATTGGTGGGTTTAACCAGAATCAACCTCATGTTTTCACTGCAAGACTGAAAAGACATGACATCCATTTGTTTCAACACAGACTAAGAAACACAACAGATTTCAATAGGAAACAAATCTCTTTTTCTGAATATTACAAAGAGATTTTCAACACTGACAGCTGGTTCCCTACATGAGCCTTGCTTTTAAGTCAATTTAATAAGATCACTATGACAACAAAAACAGCCTCATACACCAATATATTGTTTTTAGCGGTTTTAAAATCTATTGTAACAAATACACCACAAACAGGCTTTTACTGTGACCATTTTTGTTGTTAAACTTAATTTTGAAGAATTGTCAAGATGATTAATGCCACCAGTGGCATCATGAAATCAAGTATGAAAGCAATACCATAAAAATAAGCAGGAATAAAAAGCTTCAATTGGTAAGTTATTGTTTATGGACCAACAGAATGATAAAAAGCACCTTTTTCAGCCAATTCACCAGAACATTTTAAAGTTCAGGTTGAAAATTTTCAAGAGAAAACACATGTTTAAAGTAAAGCATGAATCACTCAGGTTGTATAGGCCTCTTAAAATATTTTTTAGATTATGACAATGTATACATTTGTCCAGCACTCATTTTGCAATCAGCCAAATGGAGTCAAGATTAAAAAGTTATCAGGAATTAACTTACGAGCAAAACTTCTCCTGGAAACCCTTTGTGATGGAGGACTTATATTTTGACAAGTAATTTTGGTATAACTGTTCCAAGGGAAGGAAACACAGGCTTATCAAGGTAAGATTGCATTCTTTATGTCTAAACTAAAAATTTTAGGGAATAAGATGTCTAATTTTCTCCATATTTGAACTCTTTTCAGAGGTGTTTGTTTTAATCTTCTGAATTGTTCATATACTGTAACCTCTTTCTGTTTGCAAGTGAAGGAAATACTTGTAGTCATGTTTTTTGAAGCAATTGGTTGTTTTTCAGTTTGTTTTTACATGAGGTTGCTAATAAGACACAACCTGTCAAAAACAGACATAGCCCCCCATCGTCTGTTTAGAAAAACCAAGAAAGACTTTTGTGTTTATTTAATTTCTTTGAAAAACATTTCTAATTCATTACCAATTTTGAATTACGTCTTGTTACTGTAAGATCACTCTGTTATCTGTAAACATTAAGAAAATACTTACATTTTAGTACTTTAATCTATTGTCTACCAACATGTCTTAACCTTTAACAGAAAAGATTGAAAAAAGCTGAATTAAAATGCTTTTAAAATGGATTTTATTAGTTAGAACTATGCCAAGATGCTTTCGTAATGTAATTCATCCTTAAAATATAATATGGAGCCAACTAACATGATCTTTTAAATTCAGGGATAACAAGTTTGATTTATTTCTTCAATTTTTCCTGATAACCAAAAAGAAAAGAAAGATCATTACCAGCACAGGTGATCCTTACCTCCTTCCTGCTTTTCTTTTTTATTCTATCCAAACTTGAAGATGCAGCATGCAAACCAAAATGCCCCCCATCAACAGAAAAGATGTGTCAAGGTGAAGAAGAGGAGCAGCCTGAGTGGGTTTTAGATAGCCGCTTGTCTGCTCCCAGTCTGGACACTTGATAAAGGAGCTTTAGAGATGCTTTCCTTTGAAAGTAATAATTAGAATTCAACATGAAGGAAGAAATAAGCGACAGCTGCCTTGGTGAAGGGTTGCCATGCAAATAGAAGGGAGTGGGAGGGTTCAGGTTGGGACACAGAGGGGGAAAATAACAAAAATGTGTAACATCAGACCACAGTAGATAAATGGGAAGAGGACAGGTAGGTTGGGAAGGAAAACAAAGCCAATCTCTAACATTCATTACAAAGTGGAAAATAAAAGGTCATTTGAAGTTGTTATTAAAGCTTGTGGTTCAAAGGCCTTTTGCACCGTCTCTTATCTCTCCCGCCACAAGAGCCTGCCGCACAAAAGTGTCCATTTTTAAACTGGGCTCTGAATGAATCATGCCAAGCAGCACAAGGCCTCATCATCTGTGTCTTAGAAGATCTAACAAATGCAATTTCAGGTCCGATATAACAACCAGTGTATAATGAGGTTTGTTTCAAATCACCAGTCATTCTGTTAAGAGAGAAAATATGATCTACTCAGGTGGTTGTTATTTGTCTTAAATGTTTGTGACACAGAAGCAGCTTGATCAGTTCTAGAAACATAACATTGTTTATTTTTTCTTGGATCGAAGCAAAATTGTATTTCTCTTGTTTTTATTTTTTTTATGATGCTTTAACAAATAGAGTTTCAAATAGTTTTACCTAAGGCCTGTATAAGAAATGTATAAAAAAATGCTAATTTTTTTCATCTGTTTACTGTTGCATCATAAAACTCTGTGAAGTCTGCTGCCTCTGATTTCAGCAGCTCAATATTTTAACAGTATCTGTATTAAATGAAACCTTTGTGAAATATAAACAAAATGCTATTTTTTTCTTTGACTCACATTTTGATTGATGATAGGGATATATACATTTAAAACATTTAACCAGGGTCATTTAAGAAGTATTCTTATTAGATCAGGGTTCAAGAACATTCTTGAAAATAATGGAATTTACGTTGCTTATCTTTTAGGTTTGGATAGATAAGGACAAAGGAAACTGAATGTGGGAAAATAAAACACAGATTTTAAAGACTCTTCTCCATTTTTCAGTTTTTAAAGTACAGTAAATATATGCCTAAAAGATGTAGTGATATTATTGAACAATATGAAATAAGCCTAGTTTATCTTCAACATCAAGGATTCATTTGAAGATTTTAACTAGTGCGGTTCTCCATATTTTACAAATAGAACTTTTGGAACAGTCTTTAGTTCAGTTTCCTCTCATTCTCTGCTAATTTATGACAAAAAATAAATAAATAAATCCAGATTTCTGGTAGGAAATTCTCACACGTCTTAGCTTTACTTCACTGTGTGGGGACCTCCTTTCACTTTGGAATAGTTTATGATTTTATTGTTTTTTTATTCTTCAGCAAATTAGCACCTTAGTTTCTAAAAGGTTCGACTCTCACAAAGGTCTCAAAAGTACTAATAGTTTTTTTAACTTTACAAATAAGGATACCTACGTAAAAAAAAAAAAAAAAAGACTAACTGAACTTATCTATGAATAAAGTACAGGCTCTACATCATAGTTCAGTACAAAAGTAAAATGAAGTTTTTGCCTTAATTGATGCAAAATTACTTATTCTATAAGAGTTTTTTATATGCATAGAAAATAGGTTCATTTTCTTTTTCTTTGTCTTAGAGAGAGCATAAAATACAGACTTGATCTGGTTTTGTTTTAAATTAAAATATGAGATAGAATAATAACTGTAATCAACTGTTTTGCATAAGCAGCCAAATACTTTGATATTCACAAATAAGTTTCAAAGAATATTAAAATAAAACAGAACTTAATCCATATTCAACATGTAAAATTAAGATCTAATAAAGAGGGACTGATGGGGATAGTCTTTCATCTCAGACAATGACATCCATCATCTGTAAAGATTCCTAGCCTCCTCCTCCTAGTCTTTATTGAGGTAATTTTAGTACCAGTACTTTTCTATAAACAAACTATGCTCTTACTGGACATTCTTTTTGTGATTTGGATTTTCTCTTATTTCTTGTTTTGGAACCGTTATGTTGTAATCAATATGTAGAAGTAAGAAGCAAGTTTTGATTAAGAGAGTAAGCAGTAGAAAGTACAGAAATTTATGATCAAAGGTGGTGTTAAAAAGCAAAAAAGAATCCTGAAGTCGATTACAGGTAAAACAAAAAAAAAAACACAAAAAAAACACCTTAAGTACAGTAACTATCTGTAGTGACCCGACACCTCTGCTCTCAAAAGGTAGCTAAACCCATGTGGGGAAGATGAGTTAGAGCAGAAAATGAAGAGGATGTTTGCTTTGCTGCACCTAAACTTTAGAACGGTGAACACTTTTAAATCAGGAAAGTGTCAAATTAGATTAGAACTGAACTGAGATGCTGCAACTTAATTTCATTATCATCTACATTTCATACGTTTATAAATGCAATACTTGTAGTTCATAATTGTTTGTACATTATTGTATTGTGACTAGGATTCTCATTGGTAACTGCTCTTTTACATTTAAAACACGCTGATAGAGTATTGTGGGTAATACCTATTTATTTGAAGATATATTTAAATAAGCGATTAAAATCGTTCCTTTTGAACAACAACAAAAAAATTAAATAATCATTACCTACTAGAATAATCTGAGATAGAAAAAAGTTATGCGTAATATATTTCCAAAATTCATTGGTTGGTGTACACTATGTGACCCGGAATTAAATATTTTACTTATCCTCTTTATTAAACAAATGTGACTTACACTCGCAACATTTCCATTCAATCCGTTTGTGCTGCACAGACCAAAACAACACATGTTGATGATTTAGCTGTGAACTTTAATAAGTTATTCTGAAAACATCTGGCTTCCCACCTTCCCAGAAGGACTAAAAAATAAGTACTTTAATTCATGAGATGTTGAGTTGCCTCATTAGAGGATGTGCACAAACATGACAGAGTCGTTATTTTGGAAGCAGATAATCAGTTTTACCTTTCTACTAATTTAAACAATAAAGTCAAGTCCTCTGGCACACAAGGTGTGTGGGTGCTTGCTGACGGAGCTCTCCTCAATGACAACTTGTTTTTGGTGAAATTATTAGTTTTTTTCAGATCAAAGTCACTAAATTGCTTAAGCAGAGTTTTCAACGATAATATAAAATAAACAAAATTCACTTTGAGTTATAGGTGGCAAAACGCTGGTTCAGAGGGTTCTCAGGAGATTTAGCCCACTCCTTTTTCAGCTGTTGCTTCAGCTGCGACAGCCGCATGTTTGGGTTCTCCATTTTTAGTCGGGGCATGTTTGCTTCCTCGAAGGCAGTAAAAGCTGCTTTCATCCTCCGCTCTGGATGACGGTCCAGGTCTTCAGGGCCCGTACTGGGACACAGTAAGAAAAAAGTCAACAGTGACAAAAAGCATAAACCATCTAAAATACACGCATCTTTGTCATTCACACGTCTGGTACCTGAGCACAGCGATGGCGTCCTCTATTGTTCGTGCTTCCACGGTTCCTTCTTCAGCTATAACTCTGTTAATATTCTCTTCCAGAGGAGTCTCCAGGTGGCTTTTTTCTGTATGGATAAAATGTTTTTTATTTTATTTCCACCCTAACCCTAACACACCTGGTCCAGCACCTCCAAACCGACTTTTACCTTTAGGCTTGATGTCTTGCTGCTGCTGTTGCTCATTTTGAAGTATCTCCTGAATTTCGGCACGGGTCACTTTTCCACCGGATCCTGCCTCCTTCTGAATTTTTCCTTTTATCCTAGCGCTCTCCTCATCCAGGAGGCGCTGGTTTTCCTTTTTCCTCTCAAGAAGCTCCAGTCGCCTCTTCTCCTTTTCATCCTGTGGCAAGAGAAAGTTGATTCAGCTAGTTTTCCCAACACAGAGTACCAGGGATTAGCCATTATATATGTATAGAAGAGAGATCCTTAAAACCTTTTCTATAAAACAGACCAAAATTACAGACAAAACTACTCCTGAGCTTCATTTGCCTTGAGTGTATAAGACGCTCATTCTGCAAGTATTCATTTATAATGAGCCTTTACACATTTTCCTCAGTAAAAAAACAAACAAAAGAAAATACAGGCTCTCCTTTATGGTTCTCCTGTATTTAAGCTCCTTCCATATACCAACCAACTTAGTAAGTTATTTAATTTTCCTTATCTTATATCTTATTTGTACTTACAATCTTATTTTTCTCTCTTCTGTAAACGGTTGCACTGCAAGAAAAGAATTTCCCGCAGGGCATTAAAAATAATTCTGATTAACTGTGAACTCTTTTCAATTTGCAGATAAAATGAACAGTGCTCAATGAGAGCTTCTGAGCTTGTTAAGTGTTTTATAAACTGATCCTACTTTAAACTTTTCCTCCCATCTGTTTTTAAAGCTGTTTATTACGGTTTTCTAATAAAAAACGGGTTTTCTGATGCAAATCAGAGGCAGAGGTGTTGAGTAAACAAGCATGTCACTGGTTTCTGATTTTTCCAAATAAATATTTTAGGAAACAAAGTTTCTTTTCCTCTCCAGCAGCTGTTATTTTGATCCCAACAAAAGGTTTTCGAGAACAAAAAATGGAACAAACAGTGGGCATAAGAAAATGTAGTGATTAAAAAGCTGTTCGTAATCCTAACAGATCACAGTTTTGTTTAAAACTCCACCAAAGTGTTAACATGTAATGAAATTGGTCTAACAGTGAAGGTTGGGCATCTCTGCTCACCTTCCTCTGTTCCTTTTTAAGTACATGTTTATCTGTTTCTTGCCAAAGGGCGTCCTCTTCTTCTTTCTTCTTGCGGGCGTCTGCCACTGCCTTAGCTTCTGCCTTGCGGGCTTTGGCAGTGGCCGCCTTGGAGTTCTCGCCCTGGAACTTCTTTGGCATCCTTACAGCTGCTTTTTTGCTAAGAAAGAGCAATGAGGAGATGAGATAATGTGGTATCAGATTTTTAAGATGAGTATAGTGGGTTTTCATCAAGTTAAATAACATGAAGTGACTTTGCTAGGTTAAAAAGCTTAGCATGTAAATGTTTTGTTGTTACTTTGGAGTCACATCAGGAAAATAAAATTATTAGGATACAAGCTTAAGCACATCATAATGGATTAAATGGTTTCACGAACACAAAATCAGGCAGTTGAAGAGCAAATATGTGAAATATCCTAATTTTAGCTGAGATGCAGAATAACTTTACTCACATGCCCTATATTGCTGAAAGTATAGATCTGTTTAAACACTTATGTTCTTAGAAATATTTCCGTTGTTATTTCACTGCGTTTGATAAAATGTCAGAACATTCTTCGCAACTGAAACAGTTTCAACTTCTTTATGGTAAGCTTTCGCCCAGACGTGCAATTGTGGAGTCAGACACTGAGGTTGGAAGTTTAGGTTAGCCACCTCTGCTCAGTAATGCAGCCCACCTGTCTGGTTAAGCTACTCTGTGTGATATGTGTATCACTTTGGCGCAGATTTGCTGGTGCTCCCAACAACTACAGATATGATATAATACTATCAACAGCTGATGGGATTTTTATTTAGGAACATAACAGGACTTAAGAGAAGAAGTAGAGTCTTTGTGACCTATTCTTTCAAATCAACCAACATGTAGGTTCTGGAATTCAGACACCTGTGGTAACAGCAATAACTTTAAAACTCAACCGACATTTAATTTAAATTTAATTTAAACATCACACACACACACACACATATATTGTATATATATATATATATATATATATATATATATATATATATATATATACACACACACACACACACACACTGGAGTATAGAGACTCTAAAACATGCCTTTAGCTGACTGAGCGACCCACTTAGAGTGGTACTTATGCCAGAATTGTACAAAATCAACATTTTGCATTTAAGATTTAAAAAAACAAACAAAAACTTTTGTCAATATGATCCATCCTAAACTTCACATGTGGAAAAGTTCTAGTTTTACCTAGTTTAATTTCGTGTAACCTAAATAATTATGAATTAATGAATCAAAGAAAATAATCGACTGATTAATCGATTTGCAAAATAATAATTAATTGCAGCCCTAAACTCTATACAATCTCCTTGAAAACGTATGTGCCAAGACGCCTTTAAAGCAAAGTTTGAATTGATTAAGGCAAGAAAACGGCTTTATTATGTTTTTGCGGAAAAAATAAAAATCTTATGAGACAAAAAAAACGGACCGAAAAAAAGTCTAACAGATTAATATTATATTTCCAGCATGTTGTGTGCATTGTAATGCTTATCTGACAAACGATACGGCTAACTAACGAACAACAATCAAACAGGTTTATTGTTGAATAAAACTCGAATATGCTGAAAATGTCAGCGTTGTGCTTGTCAGGTGAGCTACATAGCATTAGCTAGCCGCTGTTACCCTGATAATACAGACTTGTTTAACTTTACTGAGTATTTCCGCTCTTTGAACTATCACACTGCTTTGTTACTAAACATCGTCTCAATACACATCAGTTCAATTACAAGATATTTCCATACCAGTGTTAGAGGAAAGCCAAATCCTAGGGTTTTTTTTTATCCTGAAGAGGCATCCGCCACCTCGGAGCGAAGTGCGCACAATGATGGCGTCACTGGTGCGGTGCGTTTGAGTTTGCTTCAGGTTTCTGGAATCGGGGCACTTTGAGCCATCGACCTACAGTGTTTATATGTCTATGCTTTTAGCGCTGACTCTCTTAATGTGAAGTGCTGCTCAGACATTCTTTCAAAATCTTTTTTTAAGTCATTTAATGACGAATCAATATCCAGCTCAGGCGACATCCAAGGTGGAAATACTTGCATACAACCTTTTAGTTAATGTAGAAAACCACTTCTATTGAGCATACTTGAAAAGTTTACAAAAGGTCTGGGATTTATTCAAGATATTTCTATATCTATTAATACTTTCAGTTGTTGGATATATCCAGTGAGTTATTTTAAAAATGATTTAAATTTCTCATATTGGAAATTGGAACCAAAAACTCACTAGTGTAAGTCTAGGTAAATTACAGATTAACATTCACATTATTGTTCCAGAACTCATTTACAACATGGTGTGTCAGGAAAATAAAACATAAACCTAAAGAGTTTTTGTCCCAAATATTTATACCGTTTAGGAGAATATGCTATTTGCAATGATGCCTTTGAACAGCCCAACAAAACCAGTAGCCATCTCTCATATTAACTTTTAAAAAAATTATTATTTTTTTAATCATTCATAACTTCTATAAGACACTTCTGGGTGCTTCCTCTTTTTCTTTGTTCATTTCTTTGTTCTTCCTCTTTGAAATGATTTAATGAGGGCATAAACAAATCTAATCTGCATCTGTTATTGTTAAATGACTGTATGAAAATGTAAGATTTGACCTAACATGTTCATTATACACAGTTTCTTAACTCTGGTTATATTGTTGTTGTGTTATCTGGGGTACAATACACAACTTTTTTTTTAACAAACATTTCAGACTTTTATTTTTGTCAGCAGTTTATATAAATATAAAAGAACAAGAGCTGTAGCTGCAGGTAAAATTCCTAGTGCGGCATTATTATTTCAAGAACGTAACACAATCTATCTCCATCTATAACTCCAAATTTTAAAAAGTTCAGAGCTGATGCTCCTAACTCAAAAGCCATCATCACTTTCTTCCAGCAGAGGTGGTTTCACTCCCCCTCTAGACAGACGGTTACTCCTCTGCAACGGGACATCTAAGCTGTCGTCCTCCAGCTCCCTGCTCTCATCTTCTTCATCATCATCCTCATCTTCCTCATCATCCTCATCGACATCAATCTCGCCGTCATCAGTCTGAAACAGAAGAAAGTTTTGACCACACTCGTCATTAAACATTCATTAAACAGGCGGGTGTCTGTCTTTGTGAGGAAAGTCCAACTATATGGTATCCCAAACAAGATATTCTAGGGTAATTATTGATCACAAACACACAAACTATGGAACCACAAGTTAAACGATCGTATTTTCATTCTAACTAAGCACAGAACCTTGGGATGGTTTACTCCTACATCAGAGGAAAGGCTGATTATTGGAACAGATCAGTTTAGCGATAAAAACATATATTTAATATTTAAAGGAAAAATCCATACTTACACTAGAGATAGTAACTATTTAAAACATCAGTGCCGTTCCTTTAAATTACATAAGACAATTTAATATACATGTATATATAAATTTACCACCATCCCAAACACATTTCGTCCAAACACTGGACTCAAATAAGCAGTTTAAGAATGGATTTTTCCTTCTAAAATATTGTGAGGAAATGAGAATGAATGCGCGAACCTTTCCTGTCTGCAGTTTTTTTGATTGAGTGACTGACCTTCTGGAGACTGCTAAAAACCCCTTGTAAAATCCAAGAAACAATGACAAGAAATTAATGAAAGAAAAAAGACTGGTGGTAACAGCAGATTCCATTAGAAATACTTGAATGAAGAGAGAAGTGAAAAAGAAAAGAATGGGGTAAAGTCGGTCAGGGTTACTAAAAAGAGGACATCCTTCAAATGACAACTGGAGGTAAACAAGAAAGTAATTTACTCTTTGCAGCTCAGCAGGACACAGAAAAAATGTGTGCTGAACACAGAGACACTTTGAATAAAAACTAACCTCATCGCTGTCGCCGGCCAGCATGTTACCAATGAAACGTGCTCCTCTCCCTTAGTAGAGAAAATAAAGAAGTAATAAAATAAGAAAATTCATGAAAACACTGGAAAATACAGCAACTTTATGCGGCTCTGTAAAATCTAAATATCACTTTAATATTTGAGTTTAGCTGTAGAAGAAATCAATATGTGGAGTGCCTCTATTACGGTGGCCCTGAAGTGCAAACTGCAACTACAAATCTAAAAGCGCAACTACTTTAAGAAAAACACAATTACATCAACCTGCCGGAAAAGGTAGGTACCAGTGGGAAACATGAGACATCGCTAATTGGACGACGGCGCCGTTTGACCCTTGAACCGGAAGTCATTCTGCCTGCTGCAGCTTTTGAAAACATGGATATTGTCGGCGCCCCAAACATAGCTGCCGTTATCCAGGAGTATTTTGAATCAGGACATACGTACGAGGTCATACTGGATATGCTCAAGACTAATCACGAAATTTCAGTTAGTTTGCGTACACTGAAGACACACTTAAAAGAAGCTGGACTGTTCAGACGACGCAACTTCCGGTTCAAGGGTCAAACGGCGCCGTCGTCCAATCAGTGATGTCTCATGTTTCCCACTGGTACCTACCTTTTCTGGTAGGTTAATGTAATTGTGTTTTCCTTAATGTAGTTGCGCTTTTAGATTTGAAGTTGCAGTTTGCACTTCAGGGCCACCGTACTCTATTATTAATGTGGGAGATGAAAGTAAATAATCTAAAATTTCTGTAAAGAAATCCTTTTGCATAATGATAAAATAATTTTTTTTAAAGAAAATATCTCTCAAAAAGGAGATATTTGTTTAACATTTTCTTATGTTATAAGATTTGTGAGAATCAACATTTCCTTATCTTTCTTTACATGGCTACAGTCCATCTGCTTACCTCCCATGAGGCTGGTTCTTGTTGGTCGTGGCTTAGATGGACGAGATTCTTCAAGGTCGCTGTCTGACCCTTCATCCTCTAGAACGTCCAAATCAGAGTCAGAGTCTTTTACTGCCAAGAGGAACAAGAGTTAACTTCTGGAAAAGCAGGTTTGGATTGTGTGAGTTTTGCTTCATGTTTCTGGTGTAGGTGTAACATACATGAGCTCTTCATCAGATCTCTCTCCTCCTCCCTTATTTTGTGTTGCATTATCCTCAGGGTGTTTTCATTTTCCTAAGGAGCACACAAGACAGACAAAGAAGTAGACCACTTCTACAATTAAAATCAATTCCAAAGTTTATAATTCAAAAATTTACATTTAAATTATATTCTAAGTGATTCCATTCACACACCTCAAACCTTTCCTGCTCCAGCCTGTGGTACTCATTCAGTTGTGACTCCAGGAAGGTGAGGTTTCGGAACTTCTCCACAAAGACTTCATATTGTTTCTGCAGCTCTTCTTCTATCTTTTCATATTCATCCATGAAGGCTGGCCTATAATAATCCAATCAAAATTACAGTGGCATGATTTCGAATGTTGTTAAAAGCCTTGTTCCAAATTTCAAAAACACAGTCCAACTGACCTGACACTTTGCAACGTCTGCAGCCTCTTCTGATGCCTCTCCAGGTCCTGTTTCTTCTTCTTTAACTTAGAGTCCAGGCTGGTCTCATCTGAGACGACATTACTTCGCATCTCTTTGGTCTTCTCCACACTCACCTTGTGATAAAAACAATACAACACCTTTCATTTATAAAGTATTTGATGGGTGGCGCGCTCATGACAAGTGCTGATGAAAACACACAAATTAAAATGATAAACTTTAAGAATACTGACTAGAGTTTCCTTTATGGCAGCTCTCAGTGCCTTTTCAATCTCATTGATCTCAAGAGGTCGAGCGATGGCAGCAGTTCTCATTTCCTGTGATCACCATAGAATAGAAGACACAAAAAAAGTAATCATTACGGTTACTCGCGTCTTAAACGCATGAAAGAGAGGCAACTCTTTTTGGAACATCATTTAGCCTCTTTATAAGCCATAAATATTCCCATTTATTTATTTATACAAACAATGTATTGAAAAACAATGATGTCTTTTCCTCACCCTGAGCTCTGCCTCCTTTCCCAGTAAATCATACAACGACGCTCCTTTGGATGTGATTTCAGATGCCAGCTGACGAGCCGCTTTAAGATCAGAAATCTACGGAAATGACATACAGTGCCCCCCCCCCAAGTCACATTTTACGCTACTGCTTAAAACAAACAATGAATGAGGGTAATAGTCTCACCCTTGAACTTAGGTCAAATTTGAAATTGTTTTTATCTTCCTTCACAACATCCTCGGTAGCCATCTGCTTGGTTTTCATAGCATTGTACAGCACTGACGTAATCTTCAGCATCTCTTTCACTGCATAACCTTCAGCCTGGTAGAGGTGCTTGGTGTTTAGCTTGATGTGTGCCTTGCTCCCCTGAAACCAGGTCACATAGCAGTTAATTTAGACTGGCGGGAATCGTATTAACAGTTAAGAACATTATATGTCAAACATTTGAGAAAGAATTCACCATGAACAGAACTACGGCCTTAATGAAGAATATCCTGTCAGCCTCTGTCTCCACATCGGTGGGAATATCAATGTTAGGTTCATATCTACAAAAAGAAGAAAAAAAGTAAAGAAAAGTACATCGATTCTACAGAACATCTTTGTGAAGCCGAATTAGAATAGTTCAATGCAAATGTTCTGTGGGGAATGTGTAAATGAACTTTCTATATATATATATATATATATATATATATATATATATATATATATATATATATATATATATATATATATATCATAGTTGCTTTCCTTCCGAGCATTTAGATTTATAAAGCTTAAACATACCTCTTTATAAGCCATATTAGGATTTCTGCTACTAGGGTGAAGTTTGGTGTTCTGAAGTTTTCCATAGATATCAAGCGAGGATAGCCTAAAGCCCTCATCATTTCCGTGAAATCTGCCAAATAAAAAACCCAATTATACTCCAATATACCGGTCATTGTTTAAAAGGTTGAGAAAATAGGAGGTTTAACTTACTTCTTAGGTCTCTGAAGGACATGTCGATCTGAAAGAAAGAATGATAAATTAGTGTTACAGCCAAGTCAAAATCTTTTCATAGTTCAGTTATTAGTTATTTGTTATAAACAACATTATAGATTATAAGTACAAGCTGAGCAGGTTAACTATTCGCTTCAGTTTGTGAGTCCATTTCCCAGCTGAGTTAGCAAAGCCTTTAGCTTCTCATTAGCTCGAAGCTAGCATAGAGCTAACGTTTGTTTTATTGACTTGTTAATTTAAAAGCTCCCATCGTGTACAACATAGGGGACATTTATTTTACGCCTTCTAAACTGTTAACAAGCAAGGTTTTGCTACCTGGTATCGTCATAAAACCCTTCAGTAGTCTCCTCCGCCTAGATGGTCGCTATGGGAACGATTTGTAGTCTACGGAAAGTCAAAGTAGTCAAAATACTTGAAAGCACTGAAAGAGAGAATAATTCATGAAGCTAGACGTAATATTTTTATTTGTTTGAAAGTGAGAATTAACACGGGGTTCTGTCAACTTCTGATACATTTTAAGGGATATATAAAAAAAAGCAAAACAGCAACAAAAACAACCCATCCACTGACATCATTTAGGCAGTTTTCTTCTCAGTAAAGACTCTGTGGAGTTTACATTGAAGATTGAACATCCTGCATGTTAGACCAAAGACTCAGATCATTTTCCTATATCCAAATTTTTGTCGCAAATACCATCTGCTATCATTTGAAAAAATATTTATGAATTCACTGTGATTATATTTGTAAGATACTGAAATTTGCTTGGTGACCTCAAACATCGCTATGATATAAAAACAGAAAAAAAAAAAAAAAAAAAAACAGTTCAATTTCCCAGAACTATATCAGCAGTTAATTATTCCCATGGTTGTGAATGCCTATTACGATGAAAACATCACAGTGTAGGCAAAGCTATATTATAAGATGAAATGTTTCATCATGATTAAATATCTGAGTTAAATAATTGAGGCAATTTCCTTTTCACAATTTGGAGAGACACAGTCCTAAATCAGTGAAGGCAAAAAAACAAAAACAAAAAAAAAACAAGTATAGTACAATAGATCTTTGAAACAAAATGTGTTTCAAAAGCCAAACTTTTAAAAACATTTTCTAAAGAAAAAAGTGGTTTGGGCAGTAATTTATTATTTATGCAAAGGGTTTAAACAACATTTTGCAGTTTGATAAATGTACGTACACATTTTTAAATGTTTTAAATAAATGTAAGACTTCATTTCCAGATTTGTTTTTCAGATCTACCTGCCCCATATGTTTCTAGCCACACATCTCATAATATTGATAACTTTAAAACATGTATCTACTATTTTCTGTATACAATCTTTATATATAAGTTGCTCATCCATCATTATTTCAAGGAACTGAATTGACTTAACTCTTTCAAGATGTTTACTGTACAGAGTGAGCGGTTTCTAACCACCCTCTTTTTTTTCTATTCAAAACGAAAAACTTAGTCTTAGAAACAGATTATCTAAACCCCCCTCTATCAGCCCAGTCTGGTACCTTATCTAATGCACACTGCATGTTTTATGTTTCTGCCCCTTTTCCACCAACATTTCACCAACATTTTGTAATTTGATAAATTTACATGGACCTTTTTAAATGTTTTCAATACATTTAAGACTTAATTTCCAGATTTGTTTTTCAAATATATGCTCAGATTTATTTTCGTTTTAAATAAAACAAACATTCTTTCTCCTAAATGTAGTTTATACAGTTTTTTGGGAGACCAAGTTTAACAAATAAAAAATGAAAATGAATGATAAAATTATGATAAAATTTTATTTTATTTATTCCACTTGTGTTAACTCCAGATGAAATGAATGAAATCAGATCAAATTTGAAAAGTTTGAAACCACAAAATCTAAATAAAATAAAGCAACCAGCAAAAACATTAATTCAATATTTCCATACACGTAAAAAAAATCTTTCAAATTCTTTAAAAAAAAAATCGTACTTATCAAAAGTTTTTCAGTTCCATTTTTTCAAATCGGTTTTTTGCTTGTTATAATATAATATGTATTAATATAATAATAATAATAATAATAATAATATTTAGAATATATATAATAATTTTATGAACACAATGGCGAAAATTGTTTGATTCCTTTTTGTACTTATAAAATTTTAAGTTTAGACAGAAGATTGCATGTACAGAAGCACAGTTAATATGGGAAAAATCTGAATTCTAACTTTTTTCTCAGAATTCTAGCTTTAATCTCAAAATTCTGATTTTTTTCTCAGAATTCTAACTTTAATCTCAGAATTCTTACTTTAATCCCAAAATCTCAGAATGCTGAATTTTTTCCCATATTAAAATGAAATACAATTTAAAAATAAGTTAACTTTTTTTTTTTTTGCAGTGGCCCTAATCATCTTTCGTAAAAATGTGCTTCTCTACGTGCAGTGTTTTGTCTAAACTAATAATTTTATAAGTACAAAAAGGAATAAAAAAAACAAAACTATATACACAAAAATTCCAATTCCATGGTAAAGCTAAAGTTCTGTTTCAATCCACCAGGAGGCGACACCTGTCAGTTTGGCTTCCCATCAGTCTATGAGCTGCTCAAGTGACGCAGAGCAAGATGGAGCAAACTGCTGAGCCCCCGCACAACAACAACAGCCCGGCAGGTAATGAAACGCCTGCTTGCGGCCTTCACAGCAAACGACTCAAAGAACTGGAAAATGCCGCCCTGCAGACTAGCTTGATATCACAAATGGAGACGGAATCCGGGGCGGACGCGGGGAGCTGGATGGAGCAGGAATCCGGGCAAAGTGAGCACCCGAACGGGTTGCCCTTGAACCAGCAGCGCTCTGCGCCTCTGCAGCTCGGCATGGACACAGATGCGGAAGGAGCGGAGCCGACGGAGACTGACGTCTCCAAGGAGCGAGTGGAGGAAGAAAGGACACTGACGGACCATTTAAACAAACGACTGCTTTCTTCGTTTCTGGAGAAACTTAACGAAAGGGACCTGGCGCTCCCCGGCGTGCAGCGCCTGGACTGCGCTGTAGCAGAAGAGGACTCGAACCGGGCCTCGGATGAGTGGTGAAGCTCCGGCCTCACGATCAGCTGCAGGATCCGGGACCAAAGTGCACGGAAGCACAACATTAAAAACTGAACTGCTAGTTTATCTTCTAAATCCTCCCAGCAGGAGGTGTCTGGGAATATCATTATTAGACAGAATGTTTGAATAACAGGCAATAAATGAACACCGTGTGAAATGAATCTGCTTTGTGCTCATTGTGTTACAATGACTGACTGCAGCTGCTTCTCACAACATACATCAGCATCATCAGGGAAGGGAGCAAATATGTATCTCAATTCTTATAAAATGTGATTATATTACAGTCACTTTGGCCCAAAGTTCAGTAAAAAAAATCTAGCAGCAAACTGAGTTATAAAATCATCACATAGAAAAATACAGGAAACTGCCAAGTGAACAAAATTCTATACTTTTAATAGTAATAAAAACAAATCTGTTTAAACATGGACCAGTTTGACATTCTCACAGTATGAGCAGCTTGAAGTCAATGGTGGTCCTAGACCAAATTTAACAGGTAGGGGCAGTGTGGTTTTATGTTATACAATAGAATTGTATTGTGTATGTTGTATTAATATAACCTATATTATACTAATTATTAATTAGTTATATAGTTATACTATATTGAAACTATACTAATTATATATATATTTGTTGCCTCTTTTCAGTTGTGGTTTCTGTTCCAATGCATACATTTATTTATCATACATTTATTCTGCATTGTGTCTTTGGTACAGGGGTCAAAACCAGTTCTACAGGGGCACCTTTGCACCCTGTCTAGAACCGCCACTAATTAACACAGTAAAACAATATAAATCCAAACATTTCAAACTAAGTTGTAAAACATGATCCAATTGCTTTTATTTAAGACTCCCTGAAGTTGTATAAAATGTTATTTTCTCAGAGGGAATGCTAAGCCTCCTTTAGTTTCGAGGCAACGACTTTTGTCTTCTGTGACGGAATATTTCCAGTTTTGCCAAATTCAGAGTAATTTCATAAAACTAGCTCAGAAAAGCCAGAGTTGGACACCCAGAGAAGTGCTTCTCAAACTGGCCTAATTTGTAAGCCAGGGTTAGTTGGCTGAGTCTGGCTTATTGTGTCGTTATATAGGCAGTGAAGGCTGGTGAAAAATAATCTTGATGGGGCTGATTTGGAGAAATATTTTTCTGCCTACTCCAGTGTAAGAAGTGAAATCAATAGTGAGCAACAAAAACAATGATTTAATCCTCTTCTCAAAATGTCAATTTTCACAGATAAACTATAACGCTTCATGCAGAAAGGAAGGTTATCAAAGCAGTAATCAACAATTACTGGTTCTTTCAGCTAAATCTATAAAAATTAACGTTACATTAGTGAGTAAGAGAAATTAGTGTACGTTCTTTTTTCTAAGGTGAGTGTAATGTGATAAATGGTTAACCAGTGAATCTAGTGCTAAATATGAACCTTCTGTGTCAACGAGTCTCACTGCAGAAGTGTTTGCTGAGACTTAGACAATAGGAAATAATAGCATCACGTAAATATGACATGACATAAAAAAAGAGGCAAGAATCAGGTTTTTACTTTTTTTGTATATCAAACAACAGTCAAACTTTTCTTTACTTTTCTCAACAGTTTAATTATATCTATAAATTAATTTGGAACCTGAACTGGGCTAAAAATATATATTTTCCAGGGGTAAAATGTTTAAAAAGGTTAAGAAGAGCAACCACAGGTGAACACTGTAATTAGTGCTTCCTTCCAGTCCCACGTGTTGTTTATTTGTTGGAGATCCACTGTACTACTGATCCTCAATTAGTGGAGGAATAGCCTCCCTGATAACAGAAACAGTATGTAAGATAAAAAAAAAAAAAAATAAACACTTGAAATCGTTTAATACCGTAAGTCACTGTAATTAAGCCTTTAGAATTAATATAAAGGTTATTCCTTTATAATTACATTAGAAATCATCATAAAAGGAAACAGAGTCTATTAAAAAAGAATTAACATTAGCATAGCACTGTTGCATAGCTAACCTGATAACCTGGCTGCTGTACATCATCCAGCCATGCCACTAACTTTCCAAGCAGTTAACACAGCACCAAAGAAGAGGCTGTAGGTAAACCTGCTGGCCCTTTGGTGGCGCTACAACATCACTGCTACTAATAGATGTGGCTTTCACACACTGAAACATAAATAGGGTTTCCTATTTTCCTCTCTGAGATCCAGTTTCAACCTGTTGAGCCATGATTACTGGGTTCCACCTGGATTTCTCTTGCTAATTTCGGGTTTTCACTCATAAACAGTAAGCAGAGAGTTCAGTTCATTGAAATACGATGAGGAAATGTGTTCAATCCATATCTATTTAAAGAGCACACTTAAAAACAATCAACAGAATGCCCAAGGTGCTGGACAATTGACAGGCATGACACAGCATCCCAAAACATCCCAAATTAAAACCTGTAAAAAAACAATAAAAGAATAAAAGCAGCGATGCAAAAAGTGAGTAAAAGGAAAGGCATACATTGAAAACAAAGCATACATAAAACAAGGAGAGGACATCAAAGGAACCCCAAAATGACAAAATAAGTCATTGTCTGGCATTTGAATAAAAGCATAATGCAAAGCATGGCTTGGTGAGTCGATTCAATGTTATATTAATAAATATTAAAAGTTGTCTAAGTCAAAGAAATAACAGACAGTTTTTTTTTTTTTTTAAATATAACGTTAAATGCTTTTGAAGGCATTTCCTGTGGAAATGCAAGATGCAAGGAATCTGGAAGACATTGATAATCTAAATGTATTGAATATTTACAAGAAAGAAGAATAATTTTTGAAGTAATTTACATTAACTTATAATCTTAACACAAATAGGATAGATGATTTAAGATTAACAACGCTCTAGATCTCAGTCAGCAGTGTGAAAAAGGATATAGTAAGTTTTACATTTAATTCAGCTAACCCACATTGTGGTTATTCTGTTCCTGAATTAACTGCGTAAATAAAACTTTGGGACTCAGTAAAATTAAAATCAACATTTTCCAGATAATGTTGTTAAAAATAGTTAACATGAATAGTTAACCTGAAGAGACTCACATGGAGAAAATGAAGAAAATAGAGAGTTTTTTTGACATGAAGAAATGAATAGGGCTTTGATAATCAGAGTACAGCAGTTTTCCATGTAGCATAAATAATTATACAGATAATTTGTTTCCATACTTTTATGTAGTGAACTGCACTGCAAAAATTTTTTAAATCTCATTAATTCATTTTTTCATAAAATAAGTGTATTCTTTCTTGAATTGAGGAGGTAAATGAGACACTTTGTCAAAGGAACGAGACAATTTACATTTAAAATAAGGAAAAAACAATTGCATGGCCTTATTTCAGATGCACATCATCTAATCATTATAGTAGAAATACTCATTCCATTGGGAAATCATCTTATTTGCCTACTTAAATTAAGGAGAAATACACTTAACTTAAACATTTTTTAAAATAATTTCTACATCGTTTTTGCAGTGTGCTCAGCAAAATTTATCAGATTTACTTTAGCAACATTTGACAAAATAAAGGATGGAAAAAACACACAGGATCTTCACAAATCATTAGAAGTTACACAATCACTTTATAAAATCTATGTTAATGTCACAGAAAATAAACCTGTAGAAGTCAAACCCTTCATGCTGTGAACTTTGTAATAGTTATTTTTTATCTCATTGGGAATTTTTAATGTTCAACAATCATGTATAAAGTGACTAACCGTTGAGTAAAAAGCTGTGACTCACTTTAGTCCCAATCATAAAAAAGGAGAAGCAAAAGCAAAGGCCTGATAATAAGATAAGGAACTTAGCTCTGAATTACTGCTAATGTACACACAGACTGAATCCCTCTTATCTACTAAAACACTCCATCGTTCTAGAAACAGTACAGAAGAAAACTAAAGTTTCATCTTATCTAACTGGACTGAATATTATCTGTATTTATGGCTCTTCGAAGTGAAAATGAGGAAATACACGCAGCTCTGGATGTGCCAGTATTTTGAAGCGTCAAAGGATAAGATATATTTAAAAAAATCTTTTCAAAAAGATAAACTAAACAGATTAAAGCAATTTTTCTGTTTCTACTGATTAAGAGCCAATAGGAATCGTTAGGAGTAATCTGATGGTTAATGTCATTCTAACAGTCACTCCCCCTCCTTTTCATTTACAACACGCCGTCTCTGGGCAGGTTCGTCAAAGGAAGCAGCTGTGGGTTATTTGGTAATTTATCCTCCTGAAAAAAAAAATAGGATGAAAAAGAAACTTTTAAAATACTTCTTGTGTTATTCTCATCCAACATTTAAAAATATTTATTATTTGACAAACAATTCCAACAAACCTAGAGCATTATTTTATACAAACGGTTTCCTTACCTGGTTGTTTCTTCTGTGACTTGCAGGTATATGCTGCGTATCCCAGCATGCATTGTGGCTGTAGCAGGGTAACATCCTGGATATCAAATTGGTCTTAAGAGAAACAGATACTATTACAGATAAATACTACCAAACAGGAAATACTTGAGGGGATCTTATGGGTAATGTATTAATATTATAATCTCTGTTACAAATACTGTGTTTTCTGAAGAGATCTCAGTCTTCTTTTTTTTCAGGTCCCACCACAACAAGCCCTCTTTAATTTGATTCCTCTTTGTCGGCCCTGTGTGCAACAGAAACATGATAGTTTGGTTAATGCATGAATAAAACCTGCAAAAAAAAGGTGATTCAGGAACCAAAGGCCCTTTACTTTGTCGTTTGATTTGAAATGAGCTCCATCTCCTTGCTTAAGTATTCACACCCTTTGAAGGATCCTAAGTGATCCAGATCACAAAAAAATGTAGCAAAATAGCACAATTCTCAAATTGAAACATGGCTACTATTTTTTCCTTTTTTTTAGGCATGGTGTGCATTTGTGTTCAGCCCATCTTTTATCGCAAATACTGCAAGTTTAAAGTAGAACGTCTCTAGTAGCATTTTATATGGTTCTTTGGGCCGGATCTATCAAAGGTTTGCGTGTATAAAAATGTGAGCTATTTCACTGCGCACGCTAAAAAATGTACAAACTGATCTATCAACAGCGTGCTAAAAGGATTTGGTCTTTAAAACGTGCTAAATAGCGCCTCTTATCCATTTAGTACTTTTTCTGCAATGAATATGCAATATGGGGCGTTTACACGCAAAAGTGCGTCTTGTGGAAGGAGAAAATGTAAATATATTAATTTAGCACTCGCAAAGTGATTTATTAAACCTGAAACCAATGTTGCTAACGGTATCTGACTCTATATTTAACACGTTTCAAAAGAAGGTGCAAATGGTCTGTATGCGTAATTGCGCACACATGGCAGCGGTTATTGTCGCAAGAAGGAGACATCGAAATGAAGCAAGGAGACGCAGAGAACGAATTTTTTCACTCCGTGTGAATATTTTTGGAATGAACGTGGAAACTATCATCAAAACATATCGTTTATCCAGCATTGCCATTTTGGAGCTGTTGGGGGAACTCTGAATGGATTTGGAGCCAGCCACAAGGAGGACCCACGCAATACCAGATATCACAAAACTCCTTGCAACATTGCACTTTTTTGCATCTGGAGCAACATGCCAATGCTGCGGGCATGCGTACGTGCTGTAATCTCATCCACAGTCACTTCTTGTGAGCCATTTGGTATGTGCATTTTTCTACAGGCCAATACAAAACACCAGTTTTTTTGGATCTTGATAAATCCAGCCCTTGGTATTTTATTGTTACCACTTTACCACTTTACAGTGTTTATCTTTTAACTCTTCACTTTTGTATTATTCTTATACATTTTATAAGGTCCACATTTGTGTGACCATTTTTTTCTATAATCTTTTTGCTGCTGTAAACACCAGAATTTCCCCATTGTGGGACAATAAAGCAATCTTCTATTCTATTCTATTCTATTCTATTCTATTCTATTCTATTCTATTCTATTCTATTCTATTCTATTCTATTCTATTCTATTGTATCTTCCGCGTATCCAGGACCCAGGAGGGCAGCAGTCTTATCAGACTCCCAGACACCTCCTTCAACTCTTCTAGGGGAAAGCCTGAGGCATTCTGGGATAGTCCCTCCCTCATGTTCTCAACTGCACCTTTGGCCCTCCCTCCCTCCCTCCCTCCCTCCCTCCCTCCCTCCCTCCCTCCCTCCCTCCCTCCCTCCCTCCCTCCCTCCCTCCCTCCCTCCCTCCCTCCCTCCCTCCCTCCCTCCCTCATGTCCTGGACTGCACCTTTGGCCCTCCCTCCCTCCGTCATGTCATGCCTTCATCATGGCGGGACATGCCTGGAACACCTCCAGAGGGAGGCGTCCAGAAGGCATCTGAGAAAGATTCACCTTAGCTGACTACACATAAACTCTGTTTGTGTGCCTATGTGTTTCTGTATATGTTCTATATATTCAGATTTTATTTTAACCATGCAGCTCTTTGGTAACTGTGTGCAATATAAATAAACCTGAAGTGAACTGACTGAGGTATATCTGCTTTCATAACTGTTGGTTCAAATGTCAAAATAGGACACATACATATTACTGCTAACCTGACAGCCTGACTTTAAATATGGAGAATGACATGACAAAAATTCAATTTAGTTTTTATTTCAAATACAAAGTTTGACCATGTTATAGTCTAAATGCAAGGGTTTTATGCAGTTCATCTCCAGTGTGCGATTAACACAGGGGTCTCTGAGTAGCCTAAGCAAAGTTTACTTTTAACTACACTGCTAGGATTTTTAAAATGTCTTATGTTATTATTTTTTATTTAACTTGTTTTGCCTTGATGCAAATCAAGTTTATTCATATAAACATTTCAGTGGCAAGACAATTAAAAGGGCTGCATATGAGAAAATAAAAAAGAAAACATATAGAAAGGATATTGCAGTGGCATAGAGGCAACACAAATAGTTAAAGAGAATAAAATGACACATTAAAAGAAGAGAATTATATAAAAAATGGAATGACAGATAAATAATAAAAAAGGAAAAAAATGAATAAGAGAGTGGAAGACGTTAGACTGAAAACTTAACTACCGATAATCATTTTTAAATAAGTCAAAGATCACTCTAAACGAATAGATTTTGAATCTCTATCCAAAGACACACAAATTTTTTTTAATCTTTTTATATTAATCTTTTACGATTAGAACCTGATTCAAACTTTAAACTGTGCTTCACATGCACACTATGTTCCTTGTCTACTAATGTTCTCTTACAAATCCTGGAGGCCTTTTTGAAAGTCTGGACTACATGGGGTGGTTAACATTTCCTGATTTTGATTGTTAAAAATAATGAAAAAACTATTTAAAACCATGAATCCTCTTACTTTCATTTAACCCCGATCTATTCTGTGATAGATTGTTGATTATCTGAAAGAATCCCTGCAAGATTCCCAGGATTTATGATTGTAAAAATAAATAAAGAAAAGAAAAAAGAAGGTAGTTTAAAGGTTTCTGAATACTTTTGCAAACAAATCTATAACAAAAAGATTTTTTTCAAAGTGTAGGAGTGACTGCCCTTTTCACAGCATGTATCTATGATCATTGTGTTAAATCTGACATCATCTTCTTACCTGTCGCATAGCTCACTATCAGCCCAACCAGTATCACTGAACTGGTGGCCATGGCTCCAAAATAGAGGTAAGACATGGAGTAGAAGTTAAGGATGCCGCTGTTTTTAGGCAAACAAAGCACATGGCAAAAATTAATTACAATTTTAAAGATATTTCATATTCTTCATTTATTATCTCTAGATGCAGTATAAAGCAGACTTAATATATATGAGTGATTAATCTTTTATTTAATTACTTACAGTACCTGTTCACATATGTGAAATGCTACTGTAAGTAATTAAATAAAAGATTAATCATTCATATTTGTGTCAAAAGAAGATTCCTCTGAAGGAAGAAATTTTAAGTTAGTCTTCTTTACTATCAACATGTGAAAAAGTGAAGTTGCTAACCCTTGGTCATCAGGATGAAGTGGGGTCAGGATGGATAGCTCGTCTGGGTTAGATCTGCTGCTCAGTGTTCCATTAGCAGGGCTGCAGCCCTGCGTGGAGCTGGGCAGGACACCCATTGTCTCCTCACTGGGCGGGTAAAGAGTGGAACCCACAGCGAGCCACAGAGAGACACAGAAACCCACCAATATCCCTGCATACGCCCCCTGAAATAAATGATAAATAACTTCAACAGTTTTGTTGCAACCTTTCTGAACTCCACTGGCATTGTTCAGCATGTCCAGATTGCTTTTCTGGACCGCCTAATTTCACTAATGTCCTGATCTAGTATGATTCTTCGATGGCAAGTGAAAAAACTAGAAATACACTTGAAAAAAATCCAAATCTAAATAAGTTATTTTTTCTTAAAATAAGTGCATTTGTTCTTGGATTGAGGTGGTAAAAGAGACTTTTTGCCAATGGAACAAGACATTTTAGATTTAAAATAAGAAAACACATTTGCATTGTCTGTTTTCAAGTGCATATCATCTAATTTGTCTTTATTTATTTTAAGACTAGAAACACTCATTCCATTGGCAAAGTATCGCATTTACCTGCTCAAATTAAGGGTAAAAATACTTAATATAAGAATTTTTTTACTTCTTTTTAGATTGTTTTTGCAGTGTGTGAAATGCAATCAAATCCAGTCTGGTTTGTAGACTTAAATGGTGAAAATGAAAATCCTCATAAGAATATGGTTGCATAGGATATCATAAAAGATAAAGCTTCTTTAATAGATACAAAGATCTAAGAAATGGAAACAGGAAGTGATGCATGAGTCAGACCAACGGCTCGTTAATGTAGCCGTTTACGGCTACTGAGACCATTATACATGCGGGTATGTGTGAAAACCATGACCTTTATTGTGACTGTGCATCATAAAAGTGAAACTTCACATATCAAAGATGTGTTGGGTTAATGGATAACAAGCCCAACTTGTCAACGTAGGGATATTGTACAGGTGCTGGTCATAAAATTAGAATATCATGAAAAAATAGATTGATTTCAGTAATTCCATTTAAAAAGTGAAACTTGTATATTATATTCATACATTACATACAAACTCATATATTTCAGATGTTTATTTTGTTTAATTTTGATGATTACAAATGACAACAAATGAAAATCTCAAATTCATCATATCAGAAAATTAGAATATTACTGAAGACCAATAAAAACAAAGGATTTATAGAAATGTTGGCCAACTGAAAAGTATGAACATGAAAAGTATGAGCATGTACAGCACTCAGTATTTAGTTGGGCCTCCTTTGGCCTGTATTACTGCAGCAATGCGGCGTGGCATGGAGTCGATCAGTCTGTGGCACTGCTCAGGTGTTATGATAGCCCAGGTTGCTCTAATAGTGGCTTTTAGCTCTTCTGAATTGTTGGGTCTGGTGTATTGCATCTTCTTCTTCACAATACCCCATAGATTTTCTATGGGGTTAAGGTCAGGAGAGTTTGCTGGCCAATTAAGAACAGGGATACCATGGTCCTTCAACCAGGTACTGGTAGCTTTGGCACTGTGTGCAGGTGCCAAGTCCTGTTGGAAAATGAAATCTGCATCTCCAAAAAGTTGGTCAGCTGCAGGAAGCATGAAGTGCTCTAAAACTTCCTGGTATGTGGCTGCGTTGACCCTGGACCTCAGAAAACACAATAGACCAACACCAGCAGATGACATGGCACCCCAAACCATCACTGACTGTGGAAACTTTACACTGGACTTCAAGCAACGTGGATGAAGTGCCTCTCTTCTTTTCCTCCAGACTCTGGGACCTTGATTTCCAAAGGAAATGCAAAATTTACTTTCATCAGAGAACATGACTTTGGACCACTCACCAGCAGTCCAGTCCTGTTTCTCTTTTGCCCAGGCAAGACGCTTCTGACGCTGTCTGTGGTTCAAGAGTGGCTTGACACAAGGAATGCGACAGCAGAAACCCATGTCTTTCATACGTCTGTGTGTGGTGGTTCTTGAAGCACTCACTCCAGCTGCAGTCCACTCTTTGTGAATCTCCCCCACATTTTTGAAGGGGTTTTGTTTCACAATCCTCTCCAGGGTGCGGTTATCTCTCTTGCTTGTACACTTTTTTCGACCACATCTTTTCCTTCCCTTCACCTCTCTATTAATGTGCTTGGACACTGAGCTCTGTGAACAGCCAGCCTCTTTAGCGATGACCTTTTGTGTCTTGCCCTCCTTGTGCAAGGTGTCGATGGTCGTCTTTTGGACAACTGTCAAGTCAGCAGTCTTCCCCATGATTGTGTAGCCTATAGAACTAGACTGAAAGACCATTTAAAGGCTTTTGCAGGTGGTTTGAGTTAATTAGCTGATTAGAGTGTGGCACCAGGGGCCATCAATTTTGAACCTTTTCACAATATTCTCATTTTCTGATATGATGAATTTGAGATTTTCATTTGTTGTCATTTGTAATCATCAAAATTAAACAAAATAAACATCTGAAATATATGAGTTTGTATGTAATGTATGAATATAATATACAAGTTTCACTTTTTAAATGGAATTACTGAAATCAATCTACTTTTTCATGATATTCTAATTTTATGACCAGCACCTGTAAATGGAACAATGAAAGAGCTTTCTTTTTAAACACTCTGGAATTTAAATTTTGTCATTGTAAGAGAAATGTAATTGACTCAAAATCACTAAAAAATTCAACAAGAACCTCAAACTTAGCCCAAACATCCTACACTGGAGTAGATAAATTATTTCCTTTTCTTTTCATGTAGCTCTACGTTTTCTTTTCTAACATTACATATATAATATTTATGTATTCATAGCTATTTTTTCTTGCAGAGACCCATCTGGATCCAGAGTTTTAGTTGTCCCTTCTGCCCTTCTGCGACTTGACTTTTCTGAGTATTTAATAATTGTTTTATTTTGAGGAGTTACTGTCATGATCTGCAATTTAGGATTTAAATTTCCCCAAACTCACCAGTCTGTTTGTTGCTGGGACAAACATTCCCAAAATAAAAATGCCCAGAACTGGACCACTGACCACTCCCATGACAGTGAATGAGCCCTGAGGAAAGAAGGCAAACAACAGTCTAAGTTCAAAAGAATAAAAAGATTAAAATCCAGGAGTTAAGATGAAAGAAACCTATAAATATTGATTTTTGCAAACCATGCATAAAAACAACCTGTTATGCCTGATGAAAACATCCCACTCACAACAGTTTTATTAATTCATTCATTTATTATAAATGATTCTGAAGGTGCTTATTTCTAAGGATCAATGGGCTTATGAATGCAATAATAATAAAAAAAAATCCTAATATGCATTTTTTAAGAAAATAAGTAGGAGGACCTTTAGTTAGAGTAAGCATACACAAAGAGAAGGTATACACCTCCTACCTGCTGTCATTAGTCATTAAACATTTCTACATGAACTACCTGGAGAACTCCCCAGTCCAGGAAGGAGGAAAGAGCTGCTACTGTGATACATCCAGCTCCATACAGGAAGGCTTTAAATAAAACAGACAAATATTTATCATACTACACAGACCGTATCTGTACTCTGCAGGAAAGCAGTTTGCATCTTTAGTTTTAGAGCAGAAGAAGCATAATATTTAGATTTCTTTTTAAACTTCTTTGTTTTCACAACCGTTTAGCAGAACTCTGATCCATTCTAAAACAGGAACTAGGAAGAATTATTTATTAGGTTTGTTAATTAGGTATGGCTAAGGAATAGGTAATTGGTACGACAGCTTGGGTATGAATTTGCCTTAATCTCTGTATAAAGAGCTTTATGATTACATTTGCTTGAGGCTAACTCTATACAAATGAATTTGACTTCCAGCAAATTTGAGTTTATCAGCTTGTAAGCGTTTAAGATTTTCTACCAGTGTTTGCACAAATGTTTCGAAGATTAACCTAACTCTTTGACCTGCTCTGTGAGACTCAACTTACACAGTGCTTTGGAAACAAGGATCAGCTTCTTCTGGGTCATGTGGACCAGATGAGGTCTCAGCAGATCCTCCATCGTCACTGCTGCCATGGCGTTGATACTCGTGGAGGCTGTGCTGTTAAACATGACAACAGGTCACCAGTCATTCTGCTGCTGGATACTCTATAAGCTATAATTTATGTTTATGTTGTATATGTGCCAAAACAGACAAAGAAAGCCAAAAGTCCTAAATGTTTACAGCTAAAAAGAAGAAATATTTCCAATGAGTGAGATTTGACTTCTTTGTTTAATAACAACCAAGGCTTTCACTTTTTCTACACAGTTAGATTTTGCACAACATTTCATGAAGAGGCTAGGGTTAGATCCTTGTTATATAGAGAGGAATATTTTAAAGAAGCAAGACCTTTTATATGTGATAAGTAATCACAGAGCATTTTTAAAATTATGTCTGTAGTGAAAAAAATGATTTTGTCTGGCTAAAAATGTTTTCATGTCATTTTACTTGAATAGATGATTCTGTTTTAGTTAAATCTCTATAACACTCAAAGTGCAAATAATTCACCTTGGTGGCTAAAGGAATGTTGGAGTCAGGCTTTAACACTGAGAGATAAACTGATTGTAAATACCTGAGAGTCCCGCTGTATGCACAGGCCAGGAAAAGCCCTGGGAAGCCTGGATGCTTTGTAAATGTGTCCACCACGAAGAATGGCATGTACTTTTTCAAATGAGAACAAAGAGTGACAGTGTGTCACTTTTGACAGTAGCACTTAGTATAGCACACAGCAAACCAAGTTTGCCTAAAATGATGTCTAGAGTAGAGAGAAGGAGTATCCATGATTAACCTTTGCCTAGAAACTGACAGTACAGTAGAGCTACAACTAGCATTAGAGCTAATTCTGCTTTTATTGGTTGAGATCAGATGACTTGAGGTTCACAGCCTCATCCTGTTCTGGCATTAGAAATTGGAAGTTTGTAAACCAACTGAAACACTACTTTTTTGAGTTAGTGTTAGACAAACTATATAATTACTTAGAGCCATCATCATACCAAATCAGGTGCAGAGATCCTCCCAGATTTCAGTGGGTCACAAAAGTTGTAATAAGCAAACATGACGATGCCACAGGTTGCTGCACTGCTCACAATTAGGCACAAACCAACCTGATTCACAAACAGAGCCCTGAAAAATAAAAACAGCATTCTTAATTCCAGTCAACACCATTTGCTCCCATTCTGTACTGATCATTGATAAATACTGTGGTTGAATAACAAAATCATTATGCGTTTTAATCCTTTATTATAGATGTATTTAAACACAAGGCAAATAAAATGGGCTGTCGTTCTTAGAAGGGATAAGAAACGTCAGTAAAGGTGCAATTGGTCTATTGTGGGAGGAGTAAACAAACATAAAAATATCCCAAAGGCAAGATGACAAACTAAAAAACAGACAGAATGCCTAATTGTTTATATTCTTAAATAAATTAACTAATAATGGTGCTTCACAGCTTAATTGATAGGTTCCAAAATGTTCTTGCTGAGCTTCTTACTAGATTGCAAGGTATTTTATAACACTCACCCACAGACCATTCTTTTCAACTGTTGAACAATGAGTCAACAACAGAATTACATATTGCAATAATATTAATCTAACTTAAATGAAAAGAAAAACAAACCATAACTTCTTGCTGTTTAACTAAATTTAACATTACCCCCTTTTCCAACCCGCAGGACTGAAGGTGTAGATGCAGTTTCTCACAGGCTGAACATTCTGGGCATTGGGAATTATTCTGGACTCCTATTTCGCACATGATACAAATCCTTTCAGTGGAAAAGGGACTATTTAACAAAAAAAAATTTGTCTCAAAAGTGGTTATTTATTCCAATTATTTCTTACCCTCCCCTCCAATAACCCCCCACTTCAACATTCGCAACATACCTATATTTCTATGTATTTTTCGTGCAACAGTCCATGTAAGAATTTAAATTTAACGTAAAAAAAAAACAAAACACCATTTCATTTTTCCTGTTTTTTAACCGTAAAGCAACAGGCCCATTATGATGAGGAATTAACAGAAATCAACAGTGAATGAATCAATATGTGGGTAATTCATAGAAACACTCACCACTGGGCATCTCTCTCTGATCGGCAGGAGATGTAGCGCTGAACTTGTGCTTGGTTTACTCCGTACATGGACAACCAAACCAAGGAACCTCCAACTGTGAGGCTCCAGAAGGTGTAACGCTTTCGTGGGTCGACTTCAAAACTGTGGAGGAACATCAAGAACCACTAACAACTTACAACACAACCGTTTTAATATTTCATACAATATTTTTTTTTTTGACCACATAACCATAGAATAAAAACCAGTAACACAGTGAAATTTCAATAATTTGACCCAAAAAGACTAATAGAATTAGGGCCCTGTATGGGATATGAAAGCAAAGATCCTTCAGTCCAATTTTTTCTTTTAAAAATATGGTTTGTTTGTTTTTCAATATAAATTTCATGCCATATTCCTAGTCCATATATATAATATACAATAGTTTAGTACTGTGTCTTAATCTACATTTAGGCCCTAGTAAAAAATGCAGAAACATACCACTTTAGTTAAGAATATAGAAAGACTAGCTAGCATCCAGGAGTCACTAAGTCTGAAAATCAACCATGATAGACTATAATGCAACATATCATGCAAAGCTTGAAGATTGCAAATAGAACTTAAACTAGAGCCATGCTCTTTAGAGAGATGAGAATTAATGAATAGTCAGTGGGTTTTTTTTATTTATTTTAGAGCACCAGCTCCAGATAGATGTTTAATAGTTTCAAAGGATAGCAACTAATCAATTTAAGTATGTCTAAAATTGTTAAGCCTGTTAAGCATGGTGGAAGGTCAGTGATTCTGTGGGCCTGTTTTTCATTTATTAATTCCAAAACATAGAATGCTTTGTATCATGGAATGTGGAAAAAAACAGTGGTTTGATCTTTTTGATCGGTGGTATCGTATCATTACTTTGAAACATTTTTAAAGCCAGGTTGGATCTGGGTGGGGACCCAAACAATAATTCAGAAAAGTGTTTACTCATTGAAGTTAATTCGGGATCCATTGCTGGCAATCTCCAGTACTTGTGCTGGGCCACCAACCAGAATTGTGCCATTGATGAAAATCGCCACAAAGCCAGACAACATGACAACAATCTGGAAAACATCAGTCCAGATCACAGCCCTCATGCCGCCCTGCAAACATTAGAGGAAAAAGAAAGAGCTTCATACTGACAAAGTAAAGTTAAACATATACAGAGACTAATCCAAGTGGGGTCACGAGGGGTGCTGGTGCCTATCTCCAGCTGAGAGGTGGGGTACACCAGTCCATGACAGGGGAACACAGAGACAAACAACCATCTGCACACACTCACACCAAAGGAGAATTTAGAGAAGCCAATTAACCTTACAGTCATGTTTTTGGACTGTGGGAGCATGCTCAGGGAGAACATGCTAACTCCATGCAGAAAGACCCCAGGCCAGGAATCAAACCCAGAACCTTCTTGCTGCAAGGCAGCAGTGCTACTCACTGCGTCACTGAGCAGCCCGAGACTTTTAATTCTCTTCATTAACCACAATCAATGTAATGGTTTTTATGCACAACTTTTCCACATTTAATGTGACATATATTCTGCAATGCAAGAAACCCCTAAACAAATTTCTTGGATAAAAAATCATGAAAACATAAAAAAAAGATGGAATAAACCTGTTTAAATAAGTATTCATACCCTCAGAGAATATCTTATTTTTCTTACCAGTGTTGTGTACATGGTGCAAATGATCCCCGTGGAAAAGAGAGACACCCAGATACTGAGTCCAGTGGCTGCAAATGGATTTCATAATCAGTTTAAAAATTTCCTTTTTTCAGACAACTAATATTTTTGATTAATTCATTATTTCAAAATTAATACTGAGATCCAGCAGAAACCATATAAGATCTGGAAATATTAGAGATTTGCTCTTAAATGATTGAAAATATCCTTTTTTTTCACACAAAGCAAATTTCACTTTTGTACCTTGATTTAAGATCAAAGCTGGTGCATAGATGACAATCCCAGTGTAAAGCAGCTAAGAAAGAGAAATAAATTACAAGTACATCTTTATACAAAATTAAATCTGTACTCTTTCATGTACAAGTAATAAAACCCCTTAATGTAATATTCTATACTATGTAGCAGGGATATGAGAGAGAAGAAAAAGGTTGCTCCTACTGTTGCAAGAAGAAACTGGATGCTTCCCAGCAGCTGCATCCCTCTGCCAAACCTCATCTTTAGATACTGTAGCAGGCAGATGGTTGGAGTCAGAACATCAGAGTAAAACAAGTCCTCATCTTTCCTCACTGAGCATATTAAGCTGTGTCAAAGAGCTACAGGGGAATTTAATCAGCTGGAGAGACATCCTTCTTCTTTTCTGTAATTTAATATCAAGCTGAAAAGTAGGGTATGTGTCAGAGCTGTTTAAATTACAAACACAAAAGAAACTATCAAGCAGTTCATTTTCATGAGAAAAAGCAAAAGAGAAGCTATTATTCTTATCTAATTATCTAGTTTAATGTCTTTTAACTCTGGTCATAATAATACAACACATTCCTGCTCACTTTATGAAATAATGTGCAGAAACTGAGGACTCATTGTGACCTGATTGGTGCTGGTGATGCCCAGTCGAAAGAAAACTGGCATGAACAGGTAAGCTGTCAGCAGGGAGCTGATGCTTTGTCCGAGGCACATGTAGAGGAATTTGAAGCCAAAGCGAAGCCCCTCTGAGGGAACCCCTAGAACTTGGACTGCTGACATGAAGCTGGCACAGAGCGACAGACCAACAGGCACAGCTGGCATGCTCCGACCCCCGGTGAAGAAGGCATCAGCTGTTTCATCTCTTCGTTGTTTCTTCATGGCTTGGAAAAGACCAATCCCCATGGAAACTAACAACATGGCAGCAAAGACGGCGTAGTCAGCCAATACAAACCCAGGATGGGATGGCTTACTGTCAGAATGCTCCTCCATTTCTGAATTTAGATTCCTTTCTCCTGATCCAAATCTGCTGATCTGTCAAAGGAAGTTATGAAAATAGAAAAAAATATTTAGTTAATGGCTTTAGTTCACAGCAGATTTGTTTATTTGTGCTTAAGTGTCCCCTCTACCTTCTGAGTAGTTACTGTAAGCTGGTGCTACGTTCACCGTCTGGATTACACAAAAAATACCTTGTCTTAAAATCTCAGCAGACAATTAATATTTTAATGAGAACTTTTAAATATAAAATAAATAAAAAATACAAGTGGAAAAGATCCCCCCCTTGCTCACACTGGCTCCGGTGCGGTTACCGAGCCGACTGAGACCGCAACTCCCGCACACCCCCTCTCACACCGCCCTTTTGACTACGGTGCGGTGCGGCTCTGCGGCTCCGGCAACAGGTCCGGAGATTTAACTAGCGAGAACAGAAGTTCACTTGAGTTCACGTAACTTCACGCGATAACACGGCCCAAATAAGGATATTTGCGAGAGCTTGTTGCGGAGGGCTCCGGCACGCCGCAAGGATAGCTTTCTTGCTGAATTTTCTGCAGCGCCGGAGTGTCTCGGTAACCGCAGCCGGACAGCTCAGCAGCCGGTGAGAGAGGTTTACGTCTTTTTAATGACTTGGAATCACTGCGGCGCCGCACCCACCGCACCGCAACGGTAAGACCGGAGTCGGTGTGAGCCGGGGGTCCAGCACTGTTGCCCCTCAAGAATAAAGTCCTATTTGAATTCCCGAGCCTTTTGTATGGTCTCCGTGTACATGCATGGCTTCTCCCTGTTACTCCTGTTTCCTTTCACTATCTGAAAGTCTGCATGTTAGGTTAACTGGCCACTTTACTTTGGTCTTTGGTAACATGAACAGTGCTACTATTTTGCAGAGTTTTTCTTTACTAAATAATTTTGCCATGTGTGAAAGAGTTAAAAAATATATATTTATAAAAGTCTTTAAGGCTTTTTTTTTTACAATACCAATCTAGTCATTCTGCTTGCTTCTCCAGCTTTTTCTCAGATGTTTTGACCTTCTGACTATTTCTCAGATTCTGGAATAGTTTTGCATCTGAGACCTTCATCCTGTGCAGGTGACCCTGAAAGATTTTTAGTCCTGTTGGTTAATGGGTCACTTTTTGTTAATACCTCTCATCTTAGGTTAGCTGCTTTTAAACTGTTAAAAGATGTCTTCTTAAAAAGAACAACTTGGACCATAATGTTCTTTCCTCTAAGGGTGTACAACGATTTGCTTTTAACCTATAACTCTGGTTCTTCTGATGTGTGTGTTGGGTTTTAATCCAGAGAAATGTGAGTTTAAAAGATTAAGAGGACAAAATGATCAGACACAGACAGGGATGTTGTCAACCTCTGCAGTAGGGGAGAGAAGCTACTGGCTCAGAAACAGCACCTTTTCTCCTAGATCCCTTCACAGTAAAGCCTTGTATTAACAGTTTACAACATAATAGGGCGGGTCTTAAACAGGGAACTCAGTAATGATTATCTGGCAGGATGCAGCTCATAAGATAGTGTGAAATGACCATCTTACTGGATGGAAGTCACACAACCGTGTGACTCTGCCTCATGACCTACTGGATGCAGGTCATAAAAGTTTATGACCCTTCTTATTGAATAACAGGATAGAAATGTAGCATCTTCTTTCTTTCAATGTTTCATATGTCCACACAATAATTTTATAATTATCACTCTAACAGTGTGTTATATTTTATTTAATGCATTTTCTTTTCTTCTTATTGATCTCACTGCTGCCACTGCAATTGTGCTCTGAGAAGGTTGCAAGTACCCGGTTTGATCACCACAGCCTCCACTCTGTTCCTGAGCAAAACCCTTAACCCCACACTGCTCCCCATGCGCCGCACAGTGGCAGCCCACTAGTTCCCAAGTGGATGGGTTAAATGCAGAGAGTGAACTTTCCCATTGCAGTACAATGAAGGGATTTACATTACATTTACAGAGTAAATCATGAGGTTTTACTATGTTAACTGGAGCAGTGTGTCGGTGTTAAGTACACAGCACTGAAATGGTTTATGTCCCACTGAGGCAGGGTACCTCAATGCTCCTTTTCAGGTCCCATTTTATTTTCCATCTTTTTGCTGGCACTGGGAATAAAATGTGTGTTTATTTTGCTAAACAGATTGATTCCCCATTAAACTCTGGTAGAGCCAAACGCAATGAAATTCTGCAACAATGGTAAAAAGATGCTAAAACACTTATTGATCGGATGAAATTGAGGTAAGTTTGTTGGGGAAAACTTCCAGCAGCACTGTTTAATTCTTGGTATGTCAAACTGTTCTTTTCTTTGGGTCGTTCTGCAAATTAACTTTAAAGGGCAGTCAGGACAGTAGACTGTTTGATTTATCATTATCTGAAGTTAATTAGAAAAATCAAGCTTTATCTTCTCTGTGAGGCCCTGAAAGGGTCATTCTTTTCTAGACTGGACTACTGTATCTCCCTTTTTAGTGGTATTGACCAGTCTCTCCTGTCTCCAACTGGTTCATAATTCAGATGCCCACTTATTAATAGAAACAAGACAATGTTAGCACATTGTTCAAATTTAACATTCTCTTCACTGGCTAAATTCTTATCTTAAAATAGTTTTTGACATATTTCTCTTGGTTTTTAAATCTTTAAATGGTCAAACTCCTTATATTTCTGAGCAAAAAGTTATTGTCCAAGTAGATTTCAGAGATCTGAAGATGCTGTCAGTAATTTCTAGGAACTGATTCGTGGTAAAAGGAAACCACGCTTCAACCCCCCAAACACTGGAACAGGTTCCTCTTTCTGTAAGGTCTTTTAAAACTCTTAATGAATTCATATCTCTTTGAAAAAAAAAACACATCTTGTAACACTGAGTTTAAATACTGAGAGCAAGATTAATAAATCAATTTTAGCATATTTTGCATTGTGTAATTTGATTTTAGTTTTTATCGCTCTTATCTTATGGCTGGATGCATTCCTTAAACAGCCTCCCCAGAGAAGCTGGAGGAGGAGTCCAGCCCAAGAAGAAGAATATTGTGTTGTGCTTTACTTTCATGATTGGAATTTTATCTCATATTTTTATTCTGCCATTCAGCTCTTTGGTGTCTAGTGTTATGTAAGGTGCATTGTGAATACAATTTTGATTTGATTATACCAGTGACCGACATGGTGAATGAGAAATATCTCACTATGAACATGTTTACACGTTACAATAAAATAATGCCTGGACTTCATCTATCTTACATGCGTTTTGAATCACCAAATGACCCCATAGGGGTTTTAACATCACAGCAAATTTGATTTAACTTTAATTTTTCTAACAACATCCAAAACTTCATATAACAGGTGGAAATCTGTTATATGTAAAGGTTTTAGCCATAGATGATGATAAATATAGTAGTAGTAGTGTATTTTTTAGATTTAGTTTATTAAAAACAACAAAGAAAAAAAAATATTGAAAACTACTGCTATTCACTCAATGGCTGAGTTTAGAAGAAGGCATCCAGTATTTGTTAATGAGAAAAAAAACTGAGATAAGCAAAACTATCTGTTTCTTGTCAGATTTAGGGAGTTTATCACAACTGAACAATTAAAACAACATCGTTTTTTTTTATAATATATATATATTCTGCAAAGAAAGATAAGAGCTGCTTGTTAATTAAGGCATAAATAGTACAAAAAATACTCTTCAGATGATATTAAAATGTCAAAAAAGTGAGAGTAAAAAAAGAGGGAGAAAATGTTTATGTTTGACAGCATAAAATGTACTTTTATATTTTTTATGCAACTTCTGACAAATGTGCACCTGCTCCAAAACAAATGACTTATCAAAATCTTCAGAACTATTAAACCTGTTTAATGTACGTTTATAAACATGAAATTATGCAAAGTTACTCCTTTGACTTTATTTTTCCTACCTAATTTGAGTTTTTTATTTTATGTTTTATTTTTTACTGTTTCTAGCAATATATATATATATGAATAAGCCTGTGGCACAAGAATTTAAAAACATTGCATAAAACCTTTTTTCCCAAGCATTGTGAAAGGTTTTTAAATTTTTTATAACCAAGACTGACATTGTTTTATTTACACCTTAGCTGTAAAGACAGTAAACTAGGTTGCTAAGTGGTAACTGCTTCTAAAAAAAGATTACCTTTACTTTATGAAAGATGCAATAAAATACTTCTAAAGACTCACCCTATGACAGCTCAGTCCAGTGTGTGAAGTAAGAATGTGCTGACGGCCAACTTCACTGCTCAGCAGCTGCAAAACATTTATACACCTTCTTTGACACACTCACATTTGTGTGTTAGTAATGCCTCAGCACATCATGAGATTTCTCTTAAAGAAAGGCACCTAGAAGAGGGCTTCATTTAAGGTTTGAAGGTTTACAGTGTGCAGCCACAAAGAAAGAGGTAAGCTGGTATGCAAGTCAAGAGAGTGAAAGAGGATGCATCATTAAAATATTAATATTCCAAATAAATTAGGTTAAAAAAAGTCTATAAACTTCATTACCTTTCAGCAATTGTAAAGTTGGGGAGATAAAAATGATATGCATACCGTGTATGCCTACTCAACGAGTTATTGATTGACCTAACATATGTGATAAATCTTGTCAATAATATGCAAACTCACCTACTGTGCAGTTAGACACAATAGTTTTTACAAGCAGCATTTTGTTGAAGCAACATTTTACAAAACTGCAATATCATTTAAACTTTTAAGTTGACATAATTTGTTCAGGAAAATGCACAGATACTGGGGAAATCGTTTTGTCAGATATTTCTCTAAGTCAATGAGCAAAGGTAAATTCTTATCTTCTGTCAAATATAAAACCTATTTAACCCATTCATACAGTATGTTTACAACAGTGATGGTTAACTCCCCATCCTCAAAGGTGATGCACATCACTAACCGGACAAATCATTTTCATTTTACCTTAAAACTGCATTAACTACTGGAAAATATCAGTTTTATTCTAAAACAACATATATCTAACAATAGATAAAGGAAAATAAGATGCTGGTGTTATTCAAAAATTACTATTTTTGCAGAGATAAACTAATACTGGTTTACTGACAGTTATTCAAAAAATCTAATCTAAATATTTTTTTCAGTGCTTGCTCTGCCAGTTTAAGAACTGTGTTTAATTCTGTTATCTTTGCATGGTTGGGAAGGAGTTA